TAGGGTTACAGTCAGTCAGCGGCTGATTGCGAGCCAGTCAGGGTTCTGATACCAAAAAATCCCTGTGGTGGAATCCCAGGTGTGGAGCAACAAAGGCCCTAGCCAATCAGGAGGCTGTTACTGACGGACAAAGCGGAGAAAGAGAGATTTCCACAACAGCTTGGCGAACCGAGAGCCAGCTGGGCGTACTGCTGCGTGCAATTAATTGCCTTTCCAAAACGGCTTTCGGTCTCGGCGTCCTGGCATCGCTGAAACGGGCTAAGTGGGATGGCATCATGGAGGCTGGCGGTGAATTAAATTAAAGTTTTGTATCCGTGAGATCTGCTTTCTCCCACTTTCAACTCAGCCTCCCCGCTCAGATCCAGCTTTCAAGTACCCGAGTCAACTCAGTGCTAAATTAGGTATGCTACCTCCGAGCATCCAAACCGTGGGCCGGCGAGCATGGAAGGTCCTCCGAGGGAATTGGCATCTCGGGGTCACAGCCTTTGGGGGTCCGCCTGTCCATTTCCGGATTGTAAGTCACAAATTTACAACATCAAATGGTTCATAACCCTAACGAGTGACCTGCCCAGTTTCACGAACGGTTTGTCCAGAAACGAGAATGGGTCGATGAGCAGATCTTCCAAGAGCTTTTCAGCCTCTCGCAGCTCCTCTCCGGACCGGCAAGCACCAAGATGCTGTATTGCATCAACCTGATCTACGGCGGCTTCACCACCGCGCTGCTCAGCTTTCTAATATGGAGTCTCCCCGGGGCCTTTGGCATGTTTGGCCTCGCCCTCGGGGTGGCGAACATCGGTGACAAGCTCCCGGGACCTGTGTACGCACTACTCTCCGGACTCAACGCCGCGACCGTGGGGGTGATTGCCCTCGCAGCCGTGGAGCTCTCCCAGCGGGCCGTCACGGACAAGTTGACGCGGTTCATCGTCTTCTTCACCGGTTCAGCGGGCATGTTGTACAACGCTCTGTGGTATTTCCCTGTCTTAATGGTCGGTTCGGGAATCGCCACGTTACTCTACGACTTTCGCTGGTTCCATATCCTCGCCCACAGTATAGCCTGCGCCGCTAAATCCCTACGCTCCCGACGACAACAACCTGAACAACCCGAACAGTCCCAACCCGCATCCGAAACCCCACGAGCCGAATCCACAACCAACCTCGACGACACCCGCGAAGAAGAACCCTCCCCCCGTATCATCCCACCATCGCACCACCTCCCTGTACCCGCCTCCCTCACCTGGAAAACAGGTGCCCTAATAATCACTCTCTTCTTCGTGACCTTCATAGTCTGCATCACCCTCCGCGGCGTCCTCCCCGACCCCCTCCCCTTACTCTTCCATCTCTTCGCCAACATGTACCTCGCCGGCACCATCCTCTTCGGCGGCGGTCCCGTTGTTATCCCTCTGCTCCGCGAATACGTTGTAGCCGAAGGCTGGGTATCGCCACGTGATTTCATCATCGGGTTGGCCGTCATTCAGGCGTTTCCCGGGCCGAACTTCAACTTTGCTGTGTTCTTGGGGACTTTGACAGCGTTGGGGGGCGGGTACTCGGGTTTATTGGGTGCGTTGACGGCGTGGGTGGGTATTTTTGCACCCGGGTTGGTGTTGGTGCATGGGACGATGGGGGTTTGGAGCGCGATCCGGGCGCGGAGGGCGGTGAGGAGTGCGTTGCGTGGAGTGAATGCTGGTGCGGTTGGGCTGATGTACACAGCAGTGTATCGGATTTTTGTGGTTGGGTATGTGGATGAGGGCTTTCAGTCGGGTCGAAGCTTGGGGGATGATCCGTGGTGGGTGGTGATTACGGCTACGAGTTATGTGGGGGGGCGGTACTTTAAGGTGAACGCGCCTTTGGCGATTGCTTTGGGCGCAGCGATGGGTTTGGTGAGGTATGCTGTGGTTTCTGCTTGAGATATCCGGCTGGGATGGGCGTGGCGGTATTGAGACTCTAGCAGGGGTTGCTATCGATCAGCAGGTTTATGGGGTCAGTGTTCGTGAACTTCGGGCTGGTAATAATATCACAGTCTCTTTCAATTTGAATATAGCGGAACTTCAAATAATAACTCAAACAATTAACCAGTGAACACCAAACTCGTTGTGTATCGGAGGCCGGTAACCCGATAACACCTGTCATGAGCAAATGGGTTTGTGAACCCCCCAGCCGACTAACAGTTAGCCCGAAGCTTTCTGTGAGCAGGTGATGAATTAAGGCAGCTATTGTTCTGGAGGCAGAATAATGCCCATGCCTACCCTCCGCAATAGGAGGGCAGGCACCCCTTTCCAGCTTGTCTGATCTCCCACTTCATAATCTACAAAACGCCGAGCAGTGTGTTTTCCGCCAAGTTTTACTTTTCCTTCCGGAACCCTCACAATCTTCCACACCCCGGCGGCCAGCTACCAACTCAACATTACTTCTAACATTCGTCCATCAGAAAGAAATCCGGCGATTAACATTTCCATTCTCAGATTCTTTCATGAAAAGGAAACGCGGCGATCGATATTATTCTTTTATTTCATCGATAACAAGAAAGTCAGTACTTGACATTTCCATTCTCAAACTCGTTGATTCAATGGAAATTCGGCGATTGATATTCTCTTTTGTTTTTACACAAACGAGAAAGTCGGCAATTAACATTTCCGTTCTCATATTCTTTAATTAAAAGTAAAATCGGCAATTGGTATTGTTAGTTGTTCCATCAGAAGGAAATCCGGCGATCAACATTTCCATTCTTAAATTCTTTTCCGTCAAAGGAAACTCGGCGGTTGGTATTGCTCTTTTGTTTTTCCATTAACAAGAAGGTTGGCGGTTAACATTTCCGTTTCTCACAGTTTTTCTTTTCCGAGAAACCGGGCGATTGGCATCTTTCAAGAACAAGCGAACAAAAAAAAAAGAAATCACACCAACACCGAGCCGCACACAGCAAAAATGGCCGACCACAGTGCTAGTCACCCTACCCTCTCAATTCCAGTGAACAGTAGGCTGTTCACAGACTCTGGTAGAATACGAGTGTGTCTTGGCCCAGAGGTGGTGGCCGAGTATTGGGGAGACAAGCCGGGTGACAAGCAGTTTCACGACCATTGGACACGTGCGGTGGCCCATATGCGGGAGGTGTCGGAGACGTTGAACGTGCGGCTATCAAACATGCGGGCGATGCCGGCGTCGGCATCCTCTGATGGTGTGTTTTTCCTTGGTTTCTTTTTCTCACTTTGCGCTCCTTCACGCCCGGTCTTCCGGCCGGGTACTCGTCACAGGCGTTTGGAATAATTAACCTATTAATTAACTACTGACCTTTAATTTAGCCACCCCGATCATCATCCATACAGACGACAAGAACGACCAGCGTCAGGTGTCGGTGAAAAGCTGGAAACAAAGACAATCGACCGATATGTTCAACCCGTGGCTGGACGTCGTCAGTCTGGCACGCAGAGTAACGCAGGTTCCTTCGGGTCCTTTATTTCCAATCGAGAAACTACCGGTTGAGCTTCTCCAATACCTTGCCCGATTCCTGCCGGGGGAAGCCGCAGCCGCGTTAGCCTTGGCCAACAAGAGCATGTTGGTGAAGTTAGGCCGCCAGTACTTCAAGGACATGGACAAGGACCGCCGCTGGGAGTTTCTGCTGCTCCTGGAGAGGGACTGTGACTTCTTTGTGGCCTGTCGGGTGTGCGAGACCTTGCACAGCCCGTTCATTTCGAGCTCCCGCCGGAGTTACCCCCTGAAGGGCAAATGCACCGCGACAGAAGACTTTGTTGTGCCGCACGGCATCACGCCGGCGTACTGTCGGCTACTCGCTCGCCGCTTTCTCAACGGGGAATCGTACACCGACGTGCTCGGCCAGGGCACGCACACCAAGAGTTTGTCGTTACCGGACTTAAAGATCTTTCACAAGACTATGCCCAAGGTCGTCGACGGACGACTCCTTGTCAAGGAGGAGACCTTTATTGCCACGCTTTTCCGGGCAGATAAGAGCTCTACCGGCCAAAGCAGTGCCGAGAACACCGTCGATAACACCATGGAGAACACCGCCGAGAACCCCATAGAAAGCCCGTTCGGCACCCTTTCCTCACGTGCCGCCTACGTCTTCAACGACCTCACCCGACCCTTCCACGGCGCATTCCTCTGTCCCCACCTAGAGTGGTGCCACCTCGGCGTCGAGCTAATCCGGGGCACGGTCAACGATTCCACAAAGACCAAAGACATGATCAACCCTTTCATCGCCGACCACCGTTACGCCGCAGCTCACCTCGATTACGATAATGAAAGCATCCGCAGTGGTGATCCCCGGTGCCGAGCACGCCTCCATTGCCCGGCCACAGGGCCCAGCAATCAAGCACATATCCCGGCGTGTTATAGCGCGACGGATCCTGTGCCGGTCGAGATCTTGGAGACGGTTCCCGATCCGGCTATTACCTGTGCGCTGCTGCATGCGCAGCCGTGTGCCCGAACGGAATGCCTGGAAATGGCAACGCCAAGGCGTATTTTTAACCTCGTCCGCTCGTGTGCACTGTGCACGACTGATGTGTGCGTTGGCGTGCAGGATGACATGGGCGATGTTGAAGAACAAGCAGAAGACGAAGAAAACGGACAAGTGGAAAGCGATGGGAAGGAAGAAGTGAAAGAAACCGGTAAAGAAACAGACAAAGATATAAACAAAGCAAAAGGAAAACAAAAAGCCACAAACATCGCTACCAACCAAAAGGGATTCGGCCGCATCATCACCCTAACAACCTGGAAAGACCTAGGCGGCGTGTACGAGAACCAGTGGGCGTCCTGGGACTCGCACTACGCACATGTTTTGCTTCTGGGGTTAGCCTTTCAGAATGCCGACAAGGTGTATCGAGAGATGATCGGTCGGGATAGGGACGGTGTCGCACGGGTGTATGGGGCGTTTGAGGGAGTTGAAGTTGACCGTGAAGGAGAAGCCGACCAGCTGGATTTCGCGTTTCCGAGCTTTTATCAGGCCATGGTCACGCCGCAGATTCGGCGTCGGTGGACTGAGGGCGCGCGGAGGGATGGGGAGGATTCGTGGGTTTTTGCGGTGCCGTTCTTTTCGGGGCGGTATCTTTAGGTCTTAAGACAGGACATGGAGTTCACGGCTTGGTGAGGTGAACTTGGTAATTATGAGACGAGGAGGACTGGGGGCCTGAGGAATACACCAGCCTGAGGCTAGCTTGCAAGGGATGCGAATGAAACTTACTCACTAGATTCTGCTCACACTGCTCGTGCGTTGACTCTCAATAATTACCCTCTGACTCTCAACATCTAATAAGGTAATTACCATACATATGTGGTCGACCTACATCAGAATTAGGGTCACTTACACCCAAACCACACATCATATTTAACGACGACTTACTCAACAGGTATCACCAAAAGAGAACTTGCCACCCAAGTACAATGCATCTTATAGTTAATCATAGAAGTCCAAATCCTGATTATTCCTATCATCTTCACCACTTCACCACTTTACCATCTTCACCTCACCATCCCAAAACAACAACCCCCCCAACCAACCCCCCAACAACAGCAGCCACCATCCCGACCCCCATCTCCCAACCATCACCAAATGCCCACCCCATCATCTCCTTCCTCGCCGCACCAGCAGTAACAACCGGCGGCGGCGGTGTAGCCCCACTGCTAGCCGTGGGCGTGGGCCCCGTCGGGATCAGCGTGGTAGTCGTGCTGAGGATGATGGACGAGGTGAAGGGGACCCCGCCGGCGGCTGTGTTGGCGCCGCTGAAGGCAGGGGCTTGGGTTGCGGCTGAGGGGTCGGGGGTTGCGGTTGGGTTTGCTGGGTTGAGGACTCTGTTGGGATTTGTTAGTTGATGTTTATTGTGTGGATTGTGGGAGGACACTCTGGGGAAGGTTGGAATGGGGTTTCGAGGTGGAATTATGGAAGAGGAGGGAGGGATATTAAGGGGGTTGATGTATGAGAAAAGGGGGTTTGAAGAAAGGAGGAGAGAGAAAAGGAAAAGAAAACCCACCCATCAATAAAATGCACTACCCCATTGCCCACCAACACATCCGTCACCACCACCCTCGCACTGTTCACAAACAACGCCCCCTGCACCACCCTAAAATTCAGCGCCGCCCCTTCCGCCGTCACCACCGTCCCGCCTCCCTTAATCAACTGGCTATACAGCACCTGGCCCCGCACCACATGGTAATTCAGCACCGTCGTCAGCTGCTCCAGCGTCATGCCGTTGAGGATACTACCGATGGCGTCAAAGGCCGCGTTGGTGGGGACAAACAGCGTGATGTCGGGGGCGTTGTTGACGGCTGCTTCGATGCCGGCGCGTTGGAGGGCGCCGACGCATGCGGTTAGGCCTGTGGTGATGAGCGTGTCGGTGATGCGGGCGGGGATGGTGAGGGCTGTGTCGATGATGTGGAGCGTCCCGCCGACGTAGTTGAAGTCCTGGTCGTCGTGTTAGTGTCTGGTATGAATACCTAATCATATTATGGGTATGAGCAATGGACATAAGACATACATAGGCCTGCACGTTGGACTGAACGTTATTCCCACTGAAAAAGGTAATACCCCCGTTCTGCGAGCGTGACTGCACCACTTGGCCGCCAGACACATTCGAGTACGCCTGCATGTTCAAAAACGTCGGCGCCGACGCAACAGGGTTATTCAAAAAGTCCGACGCAAAAAACACCCCGTCGAGAACATGATAACTCAGAAAGGCCGTCAGTAAATTCGAGTCCAGGGCCAGCTGCGTCGGCAGAGTGGTGCTGTACAGCGCAGCGAGGGCATTGTTGCTCGGGGCCAGTATGGTAATGCCCTGGGCGCTGTTGAGGATGTCGAAGATGAGGGCCTCAGAGGCGAGCCAGCCGTTGAGCGTGGAGAGTGTGGCGCTCTGGGCGGTGAGGACATCTTGCAGGGACTGGGCCACGGTTGTCCCGGCAAGGAGGAGCAGGTGTGATGGATGCATGGCGTAGGGGTGGAATAAGAAAAACGATAAAGTAAAATAAAATAAGATTAGATGTGTGTGGCTCAGGGAAAATCAGGGAGGGCGGGATGCGCCGTGGGACGCGCAAAGATGCAGAACCCTTCAAGGAGGAGCTGCGGACGGGCCGGGCGGCAGGTTGTGTTTAAACGTTATCTTGCATACATGACGGACCGTGGAGATTTCGATGTGACGAGGGCCTTTGCGAGTCTGAGTTTGGCGTGGGCCATGACCCCTTAGGACAGGTCTGACCAGATATGAGGGGTAGATATGACGAGACTGCGTTCGATTATCACTCCGATATGACAAAACGCGCTTGACACACGGCCATCGTAACGTTCATACGCCGTTGGTGCGCTCGCAGATAGTCTGTGCTGCCATCATGTGGGTGTGGCTTGAGTCTGAAATCCGGCGCGTGATGCTCGATTGTGGTGGAGTTAGTTGCCTATGGGTGTGAGTGGTTTGATAGAGTGAGATATCAACGGCATTTCAACTCCAAGTTCGTTATCGTGGGAGGGGTAAAGGAGGGTCTTAGCTGGTCATAGTGGGCGGCGACGATGACTATGTAGAAATCAGGCCGTTTTGAAGGAGGTAAAGCGTATTGTTACGAGTTTCATTCCCAGGCGAAATGCTGTCCGAGTATCTCGAGCGCTGCATACGCATAGAGGTCGCCGTCGTGCGTTCCCGTAGACGGGCCGCCTGCGGGTGTAGACACAGACGTCCACGTATGCCTTATCTCGCCGACTACGTAAGTGATGCAGGGCGGGACAGCCATACGGTAGCCGCAGAGACGAGTCACAAATTGTTCATATACTGCTGCACTTTCCCCCCTCTTCCCATCCCTTCCCCCTCTTCCTTCCCCTCATCGTGTTCTTTCCCCTGAAAGGCCAACCGCCTATTCCGGAACACTTTCACAACGCAAATTCATTCGTTTCATTAAATACACCAACAACATACTTAATACACCATGCCGGGACCCTACTGGAACCCCCTCGAGCAGCTGGAGCTCGCCGACTCCCCCACGCCGGCAACGCTGCAGTGCGCCCGCATCATGCCACCACACTTGAATGCCTACTGCTGGGCTGTGATCCCCGAGTCGGCGGCCGCTGAGGCCCTGGACCTGGTCTGCGAACTCGCTGACACCCCGCCAACTATGGTCCGGCAGCAGCAACTGGCCGATCTCGCGAAGCTGTGCCTGTGTGAGGAGCGACATGCCGGCCATGTCGATGCTACGGTCAAGGCTTGGATGAGGATTGTAGATGAGGTGGCACTCAAGTTTCGGGAGGAGCGGCATGAGGAGGAGTGGCATGAGGTGGAGGGCCATGACGTGAAGCGCAGTGACAGCCGCAGTCAGGATGAGAGAAAGGGGAAAATCCAGCATAAGAACGAGGACGAGAAAGGCGAGCATAAGATTGAGGACGAGAGCAACGGCATCGTCAGTAGTGAGACCGCGACCGAAGCTCGAAGTAACAGTAAGAGTGAAATTGACGGTGAGACCAAGAAGCAAAGCAACAGTGAGGAGGAAGACGAGAAGGAGGGTCAGCAGGGCCAACCCGACAGCGCAACCGAGGCCAAGACTCTAGACCCCAGCTTTTACGTCTTCGTTGAACGACGACGCTGGGAGATGCTGGAGCACGGATACACCGTAGCCCACCAGCTGCTCGGCTTCTCCGAGTCAAGCCCGGAAGAGACCGTCAATGAAGACAGCCCCAGGAGAAGCCCCGATGACAGCCTTGACAGCAGCAGCGACAGTTTCTGCCACCAGAACAACGGTTGTAACTATGACATCTGCTACGACAGCCTCCCGAAGCTCATACTTCGGTTAATTTTAACCGCTTCAGACAACGAGACCCTGCTAAGACGAACGATAGACACCGTCGAAAGGGAGCTCGAGCGGGCGGAGCGCAGGGTCGAAAGCCTCGAGACCTCACTCGAGGAATCCAACCAACGCGTGGAAGCGCTCCAGGTCGCCCAGACGACCCCGAGAGAACAGTCCCACTTTGCCAAAGTACAGCAGTCGCTGCACGAGGCACACGAGGAGCAAGCCGCTTTGCGCAGCCGTGTGGAGGTCGCAGAGCACAGCATGAGGGCCACCCACATGGGACTGACCAAGGCGCAGGCGGAAGTCGACCGCCTGATGAAGGAGGACGCGAAGACGCGGGAGCAGTTGCATGAGGCAAACGACCGGGCCAGGGAGGTCTTGGCCTTGATGGACGCCGAGCGGGACCGTACGAAGGAGTTGGAGAAGATCCGTTGCGACTTGGGCCAACGAATCGTGGCCTTGGAAGCCGAGCAAGCCGATGCCGAGGCCGGGCAGGAGAATCAAACCGGTGAATCCTCTCAGAAATCGGAATCCCCCAGCCTGGAGCATCAACTCGCAGACGTCACAACCACCTCAGAGCGCGCCATCCACGCCATCGAGCGACGCAACCAGACCCTGCAGAAAATCCGCACCGAGCTGCAAGACCGCCTCGCAGCCGTACGTGCTGTAGGCGAGCGCCACGAACGCGAGCTGGCCGAGAAAGCCGCCAATCTTGAGGGGGTCCACCGACGGGACGAGAACCGCATCGAGCGGCTGCGCCAGTGTGTCGCGCGGTACCAGACCAAGTACCAGAGCAGCGTGGCACAGGAGCAGCAGACTCAAAGTGTGCTGCGAAGCGCCCAGCAGGCAGCCAATCCGCTGCGATCTTGCAATGAGCACCTGCGCAAAGAGATTGCGAGACTCAAGGGAGAGATCGAGGCGCTTGAGGATGAGCAGGCGAGCAAGCCGCGGGGCTGGAGGGGTCGGCTGAAGGCCTGGGTTGGAAGGAAGTCGGAGGCGGTTGGGAGTGCTTCTTCGACTAGCAGTGCTAAGTCTGAGGCTGTCCCGGAGATGGATGGACAGCCTCCGGCGTTCAGTGCCCGGCCTTTTCCGAGTCTGTTTTGAGTCACTGTTTTGAGTCAGGTCTAAGAGTCTGTCTGAGTTAGTCTTGGTCTAACCAATGCTTTCTTACTTTGGTTCCGCTTGGAGGATGTACAGCTTGAAAACGCTGTCGGTTGCACGCTTTTTATCACCATGCGTCGAGTTACATGCCTTTCCTGATAGTTAATTACTTTGTTCTTGAGTTTGCCTCATTCCTTTAAACTGCTGTGGGAATTGCAGAAGGCCCAAGCCTCGTTGTAAAAGCCAGTCCTTACCTGAATATTTCATTGCATGTTGCAAACATATTCTTATTATTGCTTCATATTCTGCGGGTAATTGTAAAGGCCGGAAATCGTTGTCAAGCAGGAAGGTGCGAATTTCTGTGAATTATCATCACACTCCAAAATTGAATTTTTCTTTGATATTCAACACTCGACTTTGCCTTTTTTGGATGGTTGATTACTCTCATCATGTACTTATTGTATGTGATCTACTGTAGTACATTAGTGTTAGTTGGCATATCAACATGTTTAAAATGTGGCCATTTCACGACGGCCGATTGATATTCCATGGTTGGAGGGTTTGAACATGGACACATCAGCGAGGTACATGAGTTACGACTATAGGGTACCTACCTAAGGTGCCTAGGTAGGACTATAGTCAACATACAAACAAAATTGGCAGCCACAGCCGAGCACCGAGGAACACAACTAGGTAGGTACCACCTAGCTAATCCACCTTCACCAACCTCACCCGCAATCCCTCATTCACCACCGCCTGCACAACCCCATCAGCCCCAACCTCAAACACAAACAAATCCAACGGCATCCTCCCATACACCACTCCCGTAACACCCACCCACGTTCCACAATCATTCACAAACGCCCCCCCACCGTCCGCCACACCATCCCCGCCCATATCCTCAAACACAGCCTTAAACGCAACCTTCTTTCCCCCGCTAGTCCCATCATCCCCCTCTATGGGTTGTTCTAGTCCCGTCGGATACAACCGCACCGACGGTTTTAACTGCGGGAACCCAGCGGCCGAGACATTCGCCGCCAGCGCCACGGCTAGCAGGCCCATGTCGGTGCTGTTCGACAGCCATGAGGTTACGTGCAGGCCCGGCGCGTACGGATCGACAGAGACTGTTAGGGAGGAGTTCAACTTGGGTCCGGTGTTGCCGTCGTCGTCCGACAAACTAGCGTGCCGGTAGTGCCCCGCAAAGGTCACATTGGCTTGGGCGCGCGCGATGTTGTCGATGGTGGGGATGTAGGTGTCGGCGAGGGCCTCGGCGATGGCTGTGGCGATGGCGGAACCGCCGGGGCCGGCGGCCAGGATGGAGAAGCCGAGTTGCAGTTCGGGGATCAGGGCGAAGACGGCGCTGTAGGCGCCGATGCTGCCTATTTTGTTGAAGGTGTGGACTTCGTAGTAGGTTTGGTCTGGAAGGTTAAGGTTGATTAAGGGTATGGTTTGGGTGGGAGGGTGATCAAGGGGATAATTACGCACTCTTTTGTACACCCACGCGTCGGATTCCCCATGGCATGCCTACTGTCGCTTTTGGGTCAGAGCTATACGATGTTGGCTTGAGCCAACGTTTTGTGACTGCCGGTTTGACGAGGGTTGACCGTAGGATAGCCCGGCCGAGAGCCGCTAGATCGGTTGCGGACGTGTACATGTTTCCGGTGCTGTATTCATCGTCAGTGCTTATGACATGTAATGGTTGAAATACCTTCAGATACTCACGCCATTTCCACCCCAAGATCATAACCCCACGTCGTCTTCGGCTTGGTCCCCGGAATCACCCCGACTGAGTCGTCCTCAGGACTCTGATAGAACGTATGCTTCAGGCCCAGCGGCGTTAACACGTTCTCCTGCACCAAGTCCTTGAACGACTGGCCCGTGACTTTCTCGGCAATGAATGACAGCAGCACGAAGCCGACGTCGGAATACGTAGGTGTGGTGAACGGGGCGTACGAGGGCGGGAGCTGGGCAATACCGGCAAAGAGTTGCTCGCGGTCGCAAGTCGGCGACGTACCGCAGGGAGGATAGGAGGTGTTCTCCAGGGGTGGGAAGCCCATGCTGACGAGGCGGGTGATGTTGAGCTGCTGGCTGAGTTCCCCAAGCAGGGCGTCTAATTAGTCAGTACATAACAGCAACGTTGAAGTAGCGGTGATTCTGTTGTTTGTCATGGCGTGCACTCACAGTCCCGAATCAACCCCGACATCTGACTCGCCAACGCACCCACCGTAATAGCCTCCCAATCCGGCGTATAAATCACCCCCCGACCATTCCCTCCCTTGATCATCTCCTCCACCTCCGGCAAATACCCCCCAACGGGCTCATTCCAAATCCCATCCCCAACTGTGGCCAAAAACGTCAACACCGTAAAAATCTTGGTCACACTCCCAATCCGAAACACCGTATCCCCATCCACCACACTCACCCCGCCGCTCACATTCTGAAACTGGCCCAGATCCGGCGCCGTCCAGTACCGTGCCCACAACGGCTCGTCCTCGCCGTCGCTAGCCGTGAAGACCTGTGCTGCGTAAGAGAAGTGCCCGGATCCCGTGGAGGTATCATTATCGATGTTTTTGAAGAAGGCTTCGTCGAGAGTCGCTGCGACGGAGGCGATGGAGGGGGATTGGAGGAGGTTGGTGGGGAAGGGGAAGACAGGGCCAGAGAGGGGGCAGTTGAGTTTGGCTGCTGTGGTGAAGGTGGGGAGAGAGGTTATGGCCGTGATGCCAAGGGTGAGTTTCATGGCGCTGACGGTGATGACGAGGTCATCAAAGGATAATGAGAGACGGCTAAGTAGTTGCGCAAGAAAGCGAAGGGATGACGCGAGAGTGGAATGGAATATTGGGTAGCCGAATGTATTAATGAACGGGGTTTGCTTCATGCCATCTTCTCTGACCGGGAACTTCTCGCTTAGACAGAATTTTCTCTACCCTCATCCCGGAACCAACAACACACTTCATCTGGCTTCTCTTCCTCATCTAGGTCAACCCGGGAGATTACAACACGCACGATCTACCCCGGGACCACCACCGGCTACCACATCGGGTCATACACTCACTTCGAAGCCTTAAACAGGGACTACTTTCCCCTCGGAACCACCCGACCATTTGATTACCCTCGTCGAAACCCACACGCCCGGCATTCACCTTCGGAGCTTTGTCCACACCCAACCCAGCGGTCCGGACGTTCATCGCCCGCAGAACCCTTGGTCGCGTGCGTCTGTAACCTAGCAATATTCCGATTCTTATTCGAGTGCCTGTGTCTGCAATAGACAAGCCCAGACATGTCCACCCGGTTCGGCGAATATTAGCAAGCCAAAAATGACAGAAAGGAACAAGGTTTGAAATAAACCTCTAAATTGTCCGGACTAATTCCCGAGCAGATCGATACCCCTATCAGCCGAGACTACAACCCGAAGTGTTGGTTCACCTATAATTTCCCCAGAAAGTGATTATACCCTGTCCACTTATAACTAGGCTATGATGTTATGGACCACATTTGCACACGGTCCCACCAAACCTTTGGGTCAAACGCAACGGCGCGGCATGGTCGGCACTTTAGGCGGGAGAAAGAAAGGGGCAAGGATGTGCGATGCGGGAGGCGGAGAATAAATGAAAAAGGGGATGATCCGGCACGGCACATCACATATAGGTGATCGTCGGTCTGCGTTGACGGGTTGAATGTGTGGCGGAACCGAGGTCAATCGTGCACATGAATGGACGTCGTCTGATTCCTTATTATTGTGTTGGTGTTGAGAACATTTTCGCGCGCAGGGGTCGATTATAGACAACACCACCGGTTAAGATGAATGCAAGGGTGAAGAATAACTAGGTATTTAGTTTCTATCTAATAACCCAACGCAGTATGCATAATTCTGGCCATAAAAACAACCCTAATCAAGACGCCGACTCTCGTACACCCAGGAATCGACACAACCGTCTGTCTACTCAACCCAAACGCCATCCCTAAAACCCAAGTATCCACAACCCCATCAGCGCCCCGTCCGATCAGCCCCTCTCCGCCTCACAAATAACTCCAAAACCAACCTCCTCCGTCCCTCCGCAACCTTCCTCTCCCTCGTCCCCTGCACCTCCTCTAACCCGCGACAAACCACCGGCCCAAAAACCTCCGCCACCTTCCTCTCTCTCACTCTCCTCTTCTCCAACGACGTAAACGCATCCACCACGCTGACCCCACTGCCGACATCGCCGGCAGTGCCTGACGAGAGGATAGAAGAAGCAGTACCCCGTTTCACAAAACTCAACGACTTCCTGCCTACACCCCCCAGGACCCCGCCAATGCCTTTCACGCCCGTCGGTATCGTAGCCGACCCTGGTACAGCTCGCGCCGCGGCCTGGAGCGCATCCCATTCTGCGTTCGACATCGGGGCGAGATCAGTCACGACCCGCGCGAGCATGGCAGTGAGAAACACAAAGCAGATGTTGTGATGCGGCGAGGTGGACTGGACGATCTCGTGAATTGTGGATCGGTCCGAGTCGAGGGAGATACTGTTGCTGTGGTGGTTGTCCTCGTCGTCTAAGGCGGGTAGTGCAGCGTTTGGGTTGGTTAATGTTGGTAAAGACGGTGGGGTGGATGTCGCGGCTTGTTCGATGCGTTGCCAGAGGTGCGTCGAGATGATCCCGTCGGTCAGACCTCGGAGGAACAGCAGTAGTGTCTGCGCGAGTGCTTCCAGGCGAGCGAGGGAGGATGTTTCGGCGGGTAAAGCTGCAGACAGGTTCGGGGAGGTCGTTTCATCGCGGTCGAGTGCGTCAAGTAGATCGAGGACGTGTGATGCACGCGTGTCGACATCGGCGGCGTGGCACGTAGCCTCGTCAAACGGCCAACCCGGGTCGGACGGGATGACACAGTCGTCTAGAATCTGAGCGTCAGCGAGGGCGCGTTGTGTGGCGTTTTCGATGGCGCTGGTCAGAATAAAGAGCTCCTTGGGGGCCGGCCGGTGGGCGGGCAAGTCGTATGGGATAGGTCCGATTCGGCCGGTTTTGGTCGAGATGGACGTGGCGAAGGCGCGGATTCCCTTGCCTTCGGGGACGCGGATGAGCTCTTCGATCGAGCGCCCGATGCAGGAGGGTGCCCATGAGGCGTGCACGGGGATAAAGTGATCGCGGCCGTCTTGGATGCGGAGGACGAGCACCTCTTCCAGCGTGGACTGTCCTTCGTTGAGCATCTGAGCGTGTTTGACGTCGGACACCACACAATCGAGCACTGCGTTGAGTGTCTCGCCCGGCTCAAGAGTAACTTCGTTTCCTAGATCGACGGACTCCGTGTCGTCGTTGGCAGGCTCGGAGTGCAGGAACGAAGTGGTAAGCCATTGAGTTTGTGCCGAATGCTCTGGCTTATCATCGTCGGTTTGGATACTTTCAACGAATGACAACGTGGCAGGGACCCCGCTCGTATTCGCAAGTGTGAGTGTCGAAGTGTACTTCTTCAGGAATTGGACTTCCCCAAAGTCCACATGCAACGCGCCGTCCGGGCCATCTCCTTGAGCCGCCGTCCCGGGCTGGTGTTGATCCACAACGATTGCGATGCCTGGGCGACCCTCATTTTCCGCACGATCTAACTCTCGTGCTACCTCTGCGTGCACCGTGGCCTTGAGGTCTGGGACCACGGCATCATAGTCTAGCGTGAATATAGTTGTGACGGGCTTGTGGTCTGATGATGTGATTCGCTGGTGTGATGTGTAGAGATCTAGACGTAGTTTGTTGTGTGAGGTTGCTTCATTGGGCTCCGGCTCGTCCCCATTGTCCTCGCCTTCGTCGTATTCATCATACTCAAAACTGACGGCCTTCGGCTGCTCTTCTCCATCGTTTTCGGGGTCGTACGAGAACAACACATCATCATCCGTTTCATGGGCCATACCCCGCGCTTTCATTTCCTCATCTCTCTTGCGGGCGTCTGCTTCCTGTTGCGCTTTGCGCTGATACGCCTCTCGGTCCCTGCGTGTGCGATACAACACCCGATCGCACCAACTCGGGGCCCGCTGCTTCTCGCTCGAATCAAAGAGTGTAACCGTCCCAACATCATACTTGTATGTTGGAAGAAACGTAATGGGCCCTTCTTGCCATCCCTCGTGGAAGATCTGACCTTGTTTCCTGAGCCGGCCAAGTTGGTCGTGTGGTAAAAGGGAGTCAAGTGTAGCTTGGAGTGAGGCAGGATCCTGGTGCGGGTCCTCGAGGAACTCGTCCGGATCCGGGAGGTCAAGGGAATCGACATCGTCCTCTCCCTTGGAATTGGGTATTTCGTCCTCCGGTTGTTTTGGCGGCCGTCTCTTAGCATCTGGATCCGAAGTTTCATCGCTGCTATCCGACAACCGATGTACTACAACCGGCTCGCCTTCGAGAGAGCTCTCGCGTCGGAGCATCTTTTTCGACAAATCATACTCGCCCTGTGTGTGGAGCATCAAGAGCCGCCGAATGTCGTCCCCAGGAAGGTTCTCCAACCGAAAGTTCAAATCACCAAACCAGAATGCCACGTCTTCATCACCAATCTTACTCTTCTCATCTTCCGACACCCCCGAGACCACAATCGGTTCAAAGCTGGCCTGCGCTATGATCTGCTGCGCATGCGCTATCCGACGGCCCAGGTAATAGTCTTCGACGCCGCTAGCCAAGTGGCAATTCACAAACAACAGCTGTGTTGTCTCTCCCAGCACGACCCGAGTGCACACCGCGCCCTTGTTTCCTATCCCAAGCGCGCCGGTGCCAACGTAGGTCGAGTTGACGTTGCTGATCGTTGGGGCAATCTCGGGTGCGGCATACGCCAACAAGAGCATCCCGGCCAACTGTTGAGCCGACACAAACTCGTAGCCTGCTGGAAGCCCTGCCTCCAACGCTGTCTTCCACCTTGTCAATGTCGAATCGTCGGAGTAGATCCACCCCATGTACTGGCCCGGTGCCGTGAGGATGTTAACCTCTTGGAGGCCCAGTACATAGAGGCCAATCTTATCGCCATCCGTCAATTGTATAGGGTTTTCTGCGCCACCCGTTGCATCGTGACCATCATCGCCACTGCCCCACCCTCCCTTGGCCGGGTCCGCCGACGAACCCAGTGCAGGATCCAACCCTTCGCCATCGATAAACCATTGCGCAAGGTCTTTGTCCGTACCCGGACATGCTGCCACATTCCATGTACCGACTTTTATGCGGATGCGGTGCGGTCGAACGTATTCGGAGCGACGAGCGTGAACGGCCCTGGACAAGGAATATGGGTTGGTCGAGGTCGGGCTCTCGGGCTCCGGGGGATCGGGGGGTTCCATAGTGGCGTGGAAGAACGAGCGGACCGAGGGAACTCCAGTCAGTGATCGGGATAACGACGGCGCAATAGCAGAGTTCGATGCGTCCCGTTTAAGTTTTACGAACTCGGCAGGCTGCGTCTCGAGGTCGGGCGGTCATTGGCGGGGTCGTAACGGCGCAGGCAAACTTTATGCGTGAAAAGATAAGGGGGTCCGCGTTAAAAGAAGAGGAGAAGACACATGGCCACTGAGGCGGTAGTTAGCACAAAATTGTGCAATGGATAACGTGGCAGTGTGGGATTTAGTTAGTGTTGAGGGAAAGGAAGAGGATGCACGCAATTCCCCAACCTGGAAGTTCCTGAAACCACGACGGATAAAGTGGAATAATGAAAGCAGCAGCACAAAGACGACGCCGTCAGAGGCTCCAGAGTGGGTCCAGCCACCGCGGGGTCCTAAAATGGCACGTGGGAGGCTCGTCAGGACCCACCTAACTCCCGCTAGAGCGAAGCAGAAGCCAGGGGCACACACTAATTAACTAAATACCCACTGCCTGCAGCGGCCGCTTTCACGGCCTCCAAGAGTCCTTCGGCATACCTACCTGATGGCTACATCATGTCGGCCGCCTTCAAATTTTCATTCACAACTTTCTTTTCCAGAAATACTGTTTAAAGACCTGTTCAATCCCACTCTATTTTCCCGACAGACTTTTTAGAAGAGTGACCGGTCGACAAATTGTATAAGACGGTAAAGTATCTTCAAGGGCTCTGGGCCCACCGGTGCCGTCCATTTCGTCTCAAACACGCAATCCAAGCACTTCGCACACACAACATGGCCGGAACAGGCAAAGCACCAGCCAACGATGGTGAAAATGACAGTGTGCGGCCATCACGAGGAAGGCCGATAACGGCAGAAGAGATCCAGAATATGATGGAAGCAGCCAGGCGGCGGGTGCAAAATGATCCCAGTGAGCATCACAATCCTACATTGTTTTAGAAACCCACGTCCATCAAACCCACAATGCTAACCGTTCCAGCCCCTGCTGCGAATACGGGAGTCAGTCCCAACGTCGCGATGCGTGCCCTGTTAGAAATGGAAGAAGAAGGGGTGCGCGATGAGCTTTTAGACCCTGAGACAACCGAGGAAGACCGGGCGAGGATCGAGACTCATCTCAGGTAAATGCCTCGAGGAGAATCACGGTATCACCCCTGAGTAAGCAAAGGCATGATGTACTAACAAAACACCAACAGCAACCTGCAGCGCCAACGACGTTGGCTAGATTTTCTCGGGACAGTCGAGCCATCCACGTGAGTTTTTTTATTTGGAGATGAAGATTCAACTTTACTTCCTGGCCAGCCAAGACTCATCTAACCACCACTCTTCATTCACCCAGGTCCAGCACCACCAACCCCAACACTACCAACGCACCCCCATCAGGCCCCAGCCGCCCTTCAAAGAAAGGCAAAGACCGTGCCCCTTAGCCAGCTGCTCTATCTAGCCCCAATACATACATTCCATCATCACCCAGTCTCTCTTCACTAATTATCGGTCTAAGACCGGGGGGTCTTGCTGCTGCTGCTCCCACGCGGCAGCGGGACAGCCTCTCGCGCCGCGCCCGAGCGGCTGCTGTGGGACTTCGGGGGCGGCGCCGCGGCGGGGGGGAGCGCGTTAGAAGGGGGATGGTGAGAACGGCCCCCGCGCGGGTCCGGGCCCGGGGCAGACGGGCCGCCAAGGGACATCGCAGAGAAGGCAGCGGCGGGGTCAACGGGCTCCGCGACGCGGTCGGTGCGCTCGAGTTCGTACAGCGACCTCGAAGCCTCGCTGCCCACGCGGGTCTTGGGCTTGCAAAAATAAACTAGAGGGTTGATAAGTGTTAGTCTTTCTTTTCTTTCCTTCTTTTCTCTTTTTTTCCCCTGGCTTCCGCCTCCTTCTGTTCTTGGGTCTATGTATGGGCGGAGACCCCCCCCCCCCCCCTCCGGGCTTATGGATCTGGCTTGTTGAGTCGGGTTTGGGTGCGATAGGACAAGTTGCAAGTTTGTGCGACGTGGCAAAGAAAGGAAACTTATTACCTGGAGACTTTTTGTCCGGTCGAGCACTGCGGGCTCTGTGGATCATAGCAAGAACCTGATCGTGTTTGGACAACTGCGGCGGAACCCCCTTTTGAGCCGCCGGCGGCACCTGAGGGTTACCTCTGTGAGATCTGTGAGACGGCTGCGTCGGAGCTGGGGCTTGTGGGTGATACATGTTGAGAAGGGGGCGAGAGAGATATGGTTGTGAGTTGGATTTTAGATTTTGATGAAGGAGCAAAGCAGTGCGATGTGAAGTGTGTGAACTGATAGGATATGCCCAAAAGCCCTCGGGTGGCCAGTACTTTTATAGGACCATAGAGAAACCTTTCATACACCCGCTCGATGTGTAACCCAACCCCCGAAGCCGCGGCGGCGGTGCTTACTCTGGTCTCAGTTCAGGCCCTAAGTAAGCCTGATACCCCGTGGGTGGGGAGATCGGCGAGCGGCAAAGCGGCCTTGTCCTTAGTGAGAGACGGCAGTGGGCCGCTTTGCTGAGTTCGTGGTTTGAGACTACACGCGCTATCCCCAGATGTTGTCACCGCTGGCCGAATGCGTTAACCGCGACGGCGCAATAACTACAATTTTGCATCCCAACTATCCGTACCAAGGGGGCTCTACGACGGGACAAACAATTGAACCAGAGTAAGTGGATATTGGTGAGTGTCTTGCAGGAAATGGTACATAGGTACCTACCTAATTATGTGCGATCTCGAATTACTCCAGAAAATAACCTGCTTAACATTGCTTAGTACATGTCTAGTCAGTCGCTGATTGCGAGTAATTATAGCACAGGATAATTAACACAAAGTTAGAGCTTCATATCTAACCTAGGGCAATTACTAGGTCGTCACTCATACGCATGTTCGGACTCAAACCCGACCTGGGCGAATAGCGAGGCAACAAACGCACCACAAATCAAAACCGAGACAAGGGCGGGGAAAAAAATACAAGAAAGGCTGCGCGTATATCCCCACAAAGCATGCGACGTTGGAAAGGTTACCTGCTGCACAAGGCCGCAGGCACAAGGCCGCAGGCACAAGGCCGCGTTCCATTCATTTAGTTATTACCGACGCCTCGTGTTCCGGTTCTGTCAGGCGAGCCGACCCTAGCTCCGGCACGGCACTTACGCCGCAACGCAACCATCTCGAAAGTGGAGAAATAACCTGAAGCGGCAGGCGTATTTCCTTCGAATCCCCAACACTCCAGAAATCCGGCTGGCCTACACTTCCCACGAACCGCGGTGTTAGGACTCGGAGCTACCATCGCGGATACATGTTCCCCACTCAGCCATATGGCTATTAACAGCTCCAGCTGTTTCAACCCCAATAAGCTCCGGGTGGGCACACGGCCGCTGCCTTAGACCAACGCCCCTTGCCTTTTCCGCCTATGGATTCGCATATCCCGTCCGATGTCATCACCCTCATTGCGCCGCGGCCTTAAGTATCAACCTTACCTCATGGTACGAGTGAAACTTGAGATGCCAACACCTCATGATGCCTGCTCCCTACCTGGCTCTTTCGAAATCGCAGGTAGCCCCCGCTAGAGGCCCACGCTCGGCATGCCATTCCTAGCCGAGCGAGCCTAATGAATCGCCACTATGATACATATTTGGAAGCAGTAATGATCGTATACCCTTCCTAGTATCAGATAGAGGAGTAGCATGAACAGTTTCTGCACCGCCGCACGGCCGGTATCCTCTCCCTCACCTGGTTTGACCAGCTCTACAACCCTTCTGTCAGCACTACGGGATACGTCAGAGGCCGTTTTGTTTTTTGGCGATTGACGGCGGGCCGTTTCACAGGGGCACAATTTTGGGACCGGACGACTGGGTACCATTAGGGCAGGGACAGAGGATAGGAGTCTCTCCAAACACCCTTTCCCCACGGGCCTAAATGTTATAAAGGCGGGCTATTCCTGTTCCTTCTCTATCGCCAACTTTCCTATCCAGTATCTCATCTCATTTCAATATCCCATCAACTCACATCACTCCACCCTTCTCCTGTCTGACCTGATCGGCTCACATTCCACTAAACATCATAATTTAATTCCTGCAAAAAGACCAACCACTCAACACCTTCACCATGGCCGCTCCCCGTCGGTCTACCACTCAACCCTCTTCCCGCCATGCTAATGCTCCCAAGCCGCCCCCTGCCGCTGCTCCCAAGCCGCCCCCTGCTGCTTCCGGCCCCCCCGGGCCCTCCGCACCCCCCCAGGCTCCTCCCCCGCCCTCCCGTGAGGCCGTTAAGGTCTGGCAAGGCATCTTCAATGGCGGACCGTACACCGCGCTTAAGATGGTGCAGTACATCGTTCAAGCCAGCGGGAATAGCACCGCCAAGTTTGTGGCAGAGCCTGTGAACACCACGAAGGGGGTGACCAACCGAGTCATCGCGACCCGCAACATCAGGGACATGGCCCCGGTTTGGGCGTACAATACTGGCCGGTGCACGTCGTTCGCCATCAAGGCGGCCTACGAGCTGGGGCGATACGCGGACCGGGACGGGAAACCCATTTACAACTTTGCCATCTACGATTTGGAAGGCCACCGTATCGCGCGCTGCTTACAAACGGCGACGGTCATCGACTCCAGCTCGACCATCTCCGGCGGCGCGTTCGTGCTGCCCGAGGGCCACTGGCAAAGTTTTGAGGAGACCGCAGCAAGGTGGAAGTTTAAGAGTTCCGAATCAAGTTTTGAGCGTGACGGCAATGTCTCTGGCAAAGTGGTATGTTGAATATTCTTTCCGATAAAATCCCAATCCATCGTACAGTACCTACGTACATACATCCAGAGAAGCATGACTAACCCTAGACCCGCTAGGCCCGTTCTTCGGGGGCCCTCTCCCACGAGGAGGCCATGATCATGTGCCTGAATGGCGTGGAATCCTCCATAAAGTACAGCATCCCGACGCTGTTCCGGTCGGTCCCGTTGAACGGCACGGCCCAGTACCACGGCTTGATCACCTGGATACCGCACAAGCGTTGCATCGACTTGGTGCCCGACATGAAGTACAAGAAGAGGAAGTTCGTCATCCAGTGGGCTAAGCCCGACCACAAGGGTAGGGTTGACGAAAACAACCTCGGCAACGAGAATGACCTGGCCATTTGCGTCACCACAATGGAGGACTTCGTCAAGGTCCATGGTGGGCCGTATGGCGAGGCTCAGTGGGCCGCGGACGGTATCAACGTTTTCAGCGGTGAGATGTTCGCTGCGGCTGTTGAGTTGTGGGGTTTCCCGAAGCTGAATAACTTCCTCAACGCCCCCGCTTAGAGTGGTGCGCTGCATTAGGAGTTGACGGTATTTCCATGGCTGTGGGAACAAAATACGAGGAGTATTACGGACTAGGCATCGTGTATTCAGCACAAGGGCTAAGGGGAGGAGGGTGGTTCTTGAAACTGCAGTGGTGGTCCTCGGGTGGTGGCCACCAGACAGTCTATTGCAGGCAATGGGCATTGGCTTAGATCGCAAGGAGTTGTAGAATAAAGGAACTATGCTGCGAATCCAACTTCTCGAAAGGGTGCTGAAATTATGCCTCCAGGTTCCCACCTCAAACCCAAATATGTATTCCAGCATAGCGCATATTATAGGCTAGGTGGTAAGGAACTCCGAACGTAAGTACTGTAATCATGTACCGTACCTGGTACTCGCTGTTTATTCATATCACCAAGTAGGTAGGTAATGATTAGATCGCATTAGTTACTATACGCATCTCTACAGAGCCTCACACGCATGGCCCCTCATACAAAACCCTATGCACCGGTACCCGATCACCCTCAAACGGTATCTGCATCAACACCGTCGGCGCCCCACTAGGGAACTCGGTGAAATGGCCCCGGATATTGCTGGTCGCCTTTAAATCCGCCGCAATCAGAACCGACGACTGCATCGTCCCCGGCATCACATACGCCACCTGCGTCTTCGGCTGTGTTCTCACCCTCTCGGCAACAGCGTGCCCCTGCGTCAGTTCATCGGCAACACATACGGGTATATCGAGGGTCGTAGAGACGGGTGCGGGGGCTGTGATGCGGATGAGGCCGTTTAGGATGATGGATAGCCTGGTTGGAGTGATTAACTCGTTAGGTCACGAAGCAATCCTAGATTCTGACTAGGTAGGCGGGCGTTTGTTTCATCATACTGGACCTGAGGAGCCCAGGCTTCGCCAGGCGTGGTGCGCGGCTCAATGCGAGACCAAGTAGCCGTGGTTGTGTTTCCGATGGCGTAGTTGATCGCCGACAGGTAAGCGACAGGAATGGTGTCGAGTTGCCAGCACTCAAGCACTGAGTACCCGTTGCGGGAGGAGATGGCCGTGATGTTGAGCGTTGCGGCCGCAACAGGATCCGCTGATACGGCAGCGGCTGGGAGGATAAAGAACAGGGTATGGAGCAGCTTCATTGTCGGGTTCGTCTGATGACTTGGCATACGCGTGGCAGGTTGAGGAACAAAGACAAGACCTTTGTTATTTGACTGTTTCCCGGTCATCGGACCTGGGGCATTTTTTTTTCTTCATGTTTCGGAGCTCCGGTGATTATCAATCCCATCTGCTGTGAGTTGTTTGGTGGGTTGCTTGTGCAACATGTAATAACCCGGGGGCAAGGGTCAGTTGCACTTTCCATCAAGAACACTTTCTGCCCTGACAGGTAAAAGACACTGTTCTTGTCGGAGTCAAGATCAGGTGTCTTTTATTTTCTACCCACCTAGGCGTTTAGTCTCAGAACACCACCTAGACACCAACATCGGAAACATCTCTACCTTGAGGTGACTTTCAAAAGCCCGTGCTTACAACGTAGGGGGAACTCAAACGCTAAACTTGTTGCTGTTCTCTTCCATTACTTCCAACCCGGTCTACGATTTGTAGGGAAAACGCTGTGGTATCACTCAATCGTCAAGGTCACGGTAAGACGACTTCGTATGTTGGTCTTGCATGTACTTTTTATTTCTCTATGTTAGAGTCACTTATAAAAGCATTTGCCAACCCAAGTACTTGATCCCGAGGTAGTTACCTCCGGCTACAAATGCTTGTCTCTCCTTCTAATCATGATTCATACGTCACCCATCGTCCGTAGGTACATACCGCGCTTAGCAGGTGAAGACGCTGGGCCCGGGAATCTGGTAGTCGGTGACGGGTGGCCAGTAAATGCTGAGCTTGACTCCGGGGTCGGTACCCTGTTGCATCTAGGTGTTAGCTAATTCATTCTCACAATAGAAAGGCTGATCTCACGGATGAAACATACCTTGTACGCTCCAGGGAAGCTGACGGTGTTGGAAGGGGTCTTGCTGCCAGTGCCTCCAACGACTATTTCGCCGAACGTCAGCTAAATCTATCTCTCATGCAATGGATACCTCGACGACATACCATTGATCTGGGCACACTCCATGTAGAACTGCGCGCCTGGGTAGTTGGACGCGCCGTGCAGGGCAATCATCTCAGCACGCAGCAGGTACTGGCCCGGCGCAATGCACTGCGGGATACGGATGGTATGCCGTCCCTGGCCGTTAATGACCTTCTCAGTACCCCAAACCCCATTGTTCAACCCATCCTCCTGGATCTTGAACCACCCCCCACCGACGCCCGAATCACTGGTCGCGTCGCTGACCTTCTTCAGGTACGCCAGCGTGGGGCCTTTGTGGCTGCTGTCCATGACGTCGTTGGGGGCCGAGCCCGTGGTGCTGAGCATGTAACGCCAGATGGCGGTGACGTCCTGGCCGGCCTGGACGGTGATGACTTTGGAGGTGCCCGTGGTCGGGTTGGGCGCGCCGTTGCAGGCGACCGAGTTGGAGGTGACGTCTTCAATCGGCCCGTTGTAGGAGGGCACGCGCACGCCCTGGCCGATGCCCTGGTTGACACCACCGACTTCGAGGGAGGAGAAGATGGTGTGGGCCGTGGCCGTGCTGGCTAGGAGGAGGGGGGCAAGGACCTTCATCGTGAATGCTGCGTTGAAGTACAGGAAGGATTGAAGTCTAGACGGCTACTCTGGAAAAGGAACAGAGAGACTGGTAGAAGAAGCAAGGTGAATATATAAGAATTGCTCCGTCACGTTTCTCTGCCCAACACTCCCCTCTCCCTTGTTCCGTGGGTAGCCAGACCTCAAGCCCTCTTTCGGCTTCCCTTCCGTCTCGGCACGTAGTGTTCTCAAAGAAGGTCAACGCTAACAAGTAAGAATCACGACCAGTCCTTCTTGGCCGTCCATAATTCATGCCTCACCACCACACTAATACAACATCTCGGCGAACCATTCCGAGTCGGTCCAACCACTGCCGGCCCGAAGGAGCCTTCGACGACCGGGCGGAGGATCAAGGTCCGAGTTGTGCACGCCGGTACTCCCGGTCGCAATGCCGGAGGCCCTGAGCCAAGATCCTGGGTTTTCTTCTGCTGTTGGTCGCGTGGCCCTGAGAGTGGTTCGTTTCACGCGAGCCCGGGATTCAGGGGACTCGAAAACGTCGTCGCCCCGGTTTCTGGAACCGACGCTCCACACATCCTTCTGGTGAGAGGGCGCCCCAAGCTCACCAAGACGGAGAGGAGAGCTCCGTGTGGTTGATGGTGAGTCCCGACCGGGTTGGTGGTTCGTGGCCAAGAGGAGCGATGACACCAATAAACGCTGGGCTGCAGGTCTCGGCACTTGGCGGGTCTGTATTTGGCTAAGCATCAAGTATCGTTGTGGCCTTCAAGGGAGTTGACAAGACGGAGAAACTCTGTCAATAATTAATAATAGTGTACGCCGAGATGCACAGTTGAAGCAATCCAACTTTTGTTCTCTCATTTCCAGAAGGAAGAAACAGTTCTGTTTCGAATCGTTGGTTTCTTAGCGAGGTGGATACAAGTTTCAGGGAGTACCATGTATAAGGTTGTTATTTCGATCCTTCGGCGGCGAGGTTGGTTCTCATTATTATGATTTCTGGCATAGTTAACAGCAAACCCTAAGAATTTACTTCTCCCACTCTAATGGACAAAGGTGCTGAGTTACAGCTTCACCATTTCCCTCCCTCCCCATGCCCCAAACTCATCATCAATCTCCTCAAGCAACGACTTGATCCCTTCGCTCACAGCCTCCCCCTTTCCGGAGTAAACCTGTGGTTCACTCTCCATATTCGTCGCCCACCTCCACACCTCTGCCGCTCTCTCCCCCCGAAAGATCTCCATTGCAGGCTGAAGCTCTACAAGAACAGTCAAATCCTTGTTGTCTTGAATCTTCTTCTATTCGTGGTGTGCCGTCCCGGTAAGAAGGCGTAAATAACGTAAGTCGCAAAGGAAAGCGCAAAAGTGAACAACGTGTTCGTGCCGGATGGATGGAAGGCTGTGCTGTGTGTAGTCGAAGGAGTAATCGCAGAGGATCGTCTTGGTCGGAAAGGTCTTGGTGGTGGAATCACTCCATTCCGATTTGCAGTGGGAGCAGGTGAATCTCGTGGGGCTTTGGTGGCACATCTTGTCAATACCGGGAGGGGTATCGAGGACGAGACTCACACTGCGTGGAGTAGAGTTCGACTGAGTGTTCCTGGTGAAAGTTCGTTTGGTTCTGTCGGTACTCGTCCTGCACTTGTGTCACATTCGATGCGGAACCTCGTGGGCTTATATAGAAGTCAAAGTTATATAATTCCCTCTGAATTGTACATAGACGTTGGTGCATTCCATTCGAATACTTTCCAGAACAATCAACGACAACACCCCACTAACGCCCCAACTCAACCTACGTTCTACCACCAAACCTCTTTCCCAACCCATTTGATTCCATTTTCCACTATCGGTAATTCTCTAGTGACTCTATCCTACTGGCGACAAAGAGTGGGCAATGAAACGGCCCGGGTGGTAACATGAGTTGGGGGGATGACAACTTTCTTTGACCACCACAAGAAAGCGTACAGGACCCGTAGGCACCTAAGGTGCAACACTCAGGTGCGTTGTGGTCTCTTTGGCGCAAGTAGAGCGGAGAGTTATATAGCTAACGGCCAATTTGCGCTTGACGATCAGTTTGCTTGTTCTTCACCTTACCGAGCGAATTACCAGCGATGAACTCGCTCACCGGAAGTTCGCCAAGGTATCTCAGTTCGACTGGTGCCCTCGCCACCTGCGACGGTTGTCGCGAGGGTGGTCAGGGGCTGTACAACCCCCTTACTGCTACTCTCATAAGCCCTGGCATTATTCCAGGACACTCGCTTGAAACCGCACATCTTCTCCCCAGATCCGACCTAAAAATGGATGATATTCTCCAGAAGCTAGCATCCATCCAAGAACAGGTACTTGAGCTTCAAAGGGCCATGAAACATGGAAACATGGACACCCAATTCAAGGTTCCCAATATGCTCGGGAAGGGCCCCGGTACCGACAATCCCACAAAGATTGGGGAGAATGTAGCACGACCTCAATGCTTGGGTGTGGTTGAGTCCCAAAACCAGGGATGCTCCATAGGCGACCCTTGGATGGGCTTCCCGCAGTCGCAGGCGTCGCCTAAACTGGATAGCCGCCCCCAACCGAGACCGGAGCCCGCCCCGGCCAACCTAGAAGAGACCTATGCCAGGTTCTTCGGCCTTCCAGTCGAGGATATGGGGCCGTTTGAATCAGAGTTCCTGGCGGGATCAGGTCCAGTGTCCCCGTCAAACGGCGAGGGAGGACAGGCTCCCTATCACGTCTCCATTGACTCCGTGAGTGCAGCATACCCGCCAGACCGTTCTAATCCGGCTTGTATGAGCGATAAAGATCCTTCAACGACCAAGAAAACAGCCGTTCAAGCGAACGACGGCACAGTGGTGCCGGCTCTCCCCAGACCCAGCCCGAGACCGGTTGGACACCACCTCCCTATCCCGGTCATCGATCTCACCGATCACCCCTCAAACCTCAACACGACCTACTGTGATTCCCGTTCCCAAGATCTGAACATCCCAGTTCCAGGGGTTGAACCGCAGCGTACCGCGGTTCAACTGGAGTCTCCAAGTATCGTTTTCAAGGGGCTGGACATGGCCGACGAGGTTGCGGGAACAACAGGGTTGAATCCAACCAAGGGCCAAGACACCGCGGGAGAAAGGAACCTCACCAACTGGTACCAATATAACCCCGCTGTTGGAGCTCCATGCTCCGTCCCCAGCAGCCTGTCGGTACAGGCGGGTAGTTTTGATTCCATCGCCCCCACTACCGGCCTGGGAGGGCCCGACTCGCTCTGCCTGGGCTCACATATGGCCTCGGTGCACACAAAGCGATAGACCCATCTTCCAGGGCACCAACAACAACAAGCATGACACCAGACATCAAGCCACGCCGGCTTTCCAAGCGCTGGGTGGTTGCAACAGTCTAGGCAGGCGCCGCAAGAACTCTCATATCCCGCGCAGCAGTGAGTCTGGCCACAGAGTTTGGGACAACAATAAATGTCATGGGTGTCGGGTCAGGAAGCATCAGTGGCGTAGGCACAAGCAGGCTCCATTTATATCTATCCAAGCCGCCACCGCCTACGTTCAAGGCATTGTGTGATTTGGGGATTCTCAAGGTCGATATTCTTGGCGTTTAGCATAGATCCAGGACGAACGCGTTTCGGCCATGCCAAGCAAAGAGTTACAAACGAGTAGGGTGGCACCGAGATAATGGGATTTGGAAAGTTACACGCCAGAGGTTGGGGTCTTATAGTATGTTAGGCGGATTGGAAAGTATCTCACCATTTCGTACTTCGATGTTTATCAAACAGATTGGATAGCTTATAGTTCAATAATTAGGTAGACATCAATTAGGAAGTCGACCAATGAACACCGTTACTTCCGTGATTCCTCGTCGTGGGTGCAAGAGTACACCTGCTTTCCAGCGAGTAATTGATTCACAAGATAATAGCCAATTAATCCAAAACAACTTTTTGTCACTTATCTTGTGACGACCCTAAGGTAGTTAAGACACACTTCCAAGAGGCTAGGGTAAGCACCAGTCCCGCATACTCGACTTAGTCACTGAACCTTGACGTGTCCCGCAACGCAGCATGAAGGGCGAGAGTCATATTATGTCCCCTAACCTCTGATTCTTTCTCAAACTACAACTTGGTGATATCGAGACCTTACCACGCCCTACGGCGAGTTCAACGTCGTTACTAGATGCAATCATTACTTTTCCCGAGAGCACTGGCGTCGGTATCGAGATGGCTCAAGATCGGTATTGCAAGTCTTAAATCTCGCAACTTGATGCTCCCGTCGCACCACTGAACTAGCAGTTCCCAGGTATTATTCCCGACTTGTTCATCGGCGCCTGGCACCCGCTATCGTGAGACTATGGTACAATCCCGAAGAAGGCCAGTTCGTTCACCCATTTTTAATAATTACAGAGTGTCCGCGGGCGGTAATAGGTCGGACACTGATGCTAAAGAACAGGGGCCATGTATTTAGCTCTCGCGCTGGCGAACGCGAAGGGGGCCAGTCTGGTAACTAATATAATTTGTTGTTCACGGGTATCAGACTTCTCTCTTGAGACCTATAGGACATGAAGCTCCTTCAACTTGTTGGCGACCTCAGAACTGATGGTGTTATGGATCGCGGATTCGCCCAGTCCGGCTCTCCACACAGGTGTATGCGCTAAAGAGGTAATTAGGTTGTTGAATCAAAGTCCCAAAACCCCCAACCTCTCCTCGCTTAAGTTTGCTCTTTTGCGTGGTTGCGAGAAATCCGACTGTGACTTTACGAAATCCGCTTCCTCACCCCACGCCAATGACTTCGCGTAGAGTTTGTGTCCCGGGATAATCGATAATTAATTCTCTTGTCTCTTGTCTTTTTTTTAGTTTTCTGCAACGGAGCGGCGCCGCGGCGGACGAGCACAGAGATGGACACCGAGGCCAATGTTGCACTGCACGACCAAGCGCTGGCAGCTCCGCACCCTCAAAACCTGACAGGAACCAGCCAAGTGCACAACGTGACTTCTGTCAACGCACGATGTTGGACAGCAAACGGCCAAAGACCCGATTCCCAGTTGGGAAGGCGGCCATGGTCAGGGGCAGCCAGTGCTATCTCCGGCAGCGGGAAGCATGATGATTCGCTCAAAGCTGCCTGGTGCTACCCTCGGCAGAGTGCCGATCTGCGGGAGCCCCACGCGGGAGATGGGCGGATTTCGGCCCAATCAGTGCCGGAGAAGGTACTCGTGCTGGCAAGAACACCCTTGGTTGAAACAACCCCAGACCGAAGGCAGGCGCGAAGCAGCCTCCATCAGTCAGTCCATGTGCGGCTGCTCGAGGTCACAAACAGGGGTCTCGATGGGGGTTTCGGTGAGATTGGAGGGCTAGCGGCTTGGGAGGGATTGGGTTGCGTCTGCTATCTTTGACATTGAAAAGCGTCCCACGACCTGTGTAAGCCCGATGCGCCGAAAGACGCCGACAGCGCGGTGTGGTTCCATCGGGGGTGTACAGAGGGGAACAGATCGGCAACAGCCAAGCGGGGGGGCATCAAACCTTCCCTTCTGAGAAGTTCTCCCGCGACTTCCCACCGATCGAAACACACTGACAACATATAAGTGAGTGGTCACTGCACCTTCCCAGCGTTGTTTTGTTTTGCAGGATCAGCATTCAGAACTTCTCACCTTGCCCTACTCTTGCAGCTTCACCCGCCTCGCCCTTTCAGCCGTCAAAATGGTCCAGGTATGTGGCAGTAACGCACTTACAGCATTACCATCATTTTCAAGTTTTGCATAAAGGCGTGTAATATAGCCCAATGTCTAACTTTCCCCAGATCACCTCTGTCCTCGCCACCCTCTTCGCGGCCGTTGCCGTTTCGGCCGCGCCCACTGATGCTCACGTCAAGAAGGCCACTCATGTGGCGGCCGCTGCCTGCGTCTACACTTGCGGCAGCGTTTGCTACTGGCAGGAGGACATTGACGCCGCCCTTGCCAAGGGTTCCCAGCTGCAGCAGTCCGGCAGTGCTATCGGTGAGTGCCTCCAATCCTCAAGGGCCCAACTTCCATAGACCGCTTAACTGACCATAACCTCCCCTCCTTTTTTTTCCTTTTTTCAGACAGCTACCCCCACCAGTACAACAACTACGAGGGCTTCAGCTTCCCCACCTCGGCCCCGTGGTACGAGTTCCCCATCCTGTCCAGCTACAGCGTCTACAACGGCGGCTCGCCGGGTGCCGACCGTGTCATCTTCGACGGTCAGGGTAGCCTCGACGCGCTCATCACCCACACTGGCGCGAGCGGCAACAACTTTGTCGCTTGCAAGAAGAACTAAATTTGCACCGTTGGAGGAACAGGGAGCGGGGATCAGCTTGGGGGCACAGGCTCATGCCTGGATTTTGGACAAATTGGGCATGCAGCCACGTGATAATAACAGCATAAAACGAAATAAAAATGTAATACTTCAGAACGAGAAACTCAGTGGTGGAACTGCTAGCTGCAATTTCGATATTGATGACGTCCGGAACGTCCCGATCTGCCGGGGCCAGTGAAATAGCAACATGGGCTGAGACTCTTGGCATTCTTCTCAGCTTCTACTGGCTTGGCCCTGCGACGGAGCATGGGGCTCATATGAGCCTAGGTGGTGTCCATCCCTCATCCTGCGCTTGGATCCCGTGGCAGGCTGACACCAAACTCGCCGTTTTCGTAAATCGTCCGGACTGGAACCCCTCGATTCTCTGCAATGAACCCAATGAGCTGTTGGCCGATGTCTTTAATTTCGTTATATTCTTGCAGGCGCTGTATGTAGGTTTTGACAGTGGCATCAGGGGGTTGACTGAGCAATGAATGAGTCAGTTTCATGAACTTCATAAATGTCAGGCCTATGGTGTCCGCTAGCCAGTTGCTAGTACGAAATCGTGACGTACTTTAAAAGAGCAGTCTCGCGTTCTATCTCAGCAGCAGAATGAAGCAACGAGCGTAGAGATTCTTGCGATTTAGAAAACGCGCCACACTAGTTCGGAGTTTGTGTTAGCATATCTGCCCGCTGTTCTGAAGAGAGCAAAGGTTGGTGGACAAGGGTACGGACGACTTTGACCATGTACCCGAGGTAGTTATCCTGTGTGACCCCGGGTCAAATTAGCCGTTTGTTCAGTCTGCTCGCTCCCGCAAACGCTGGGTTCTACATACACTCATGAGGTTCTTGGCTTCAACGTTGTCCTTGGGAATGATTTCTAGTGTCTCCCCCGAGCCCGGCCCCGTGATGGCGATTACGGACGAAGAGTCATCTCTCACCCGCAAATTGGCACCCATAACCCATGAATCAGGCGCTTCCAATTCTTGGTGCGGTGATTTCTCAGCCGCTTCCAACCACTTCTTGTAACTCCCTAGTCGAGACAGGATCTTGCCAATGACTCCACCGTGATCTCCGTCGCTTTGGGTTTTGCGGGCCAGCCACTGTTCAAATGAGGACGAGAGGGATATCTGAGTTTGTATGAGAGCAGGGATTTCCCTCACGCCATCGTCGGTGGTAACCATGTCGTTTTCGATGTTGTGGTGTGATGATAAGTTGAGACGAGTTCGTTCCGGTGTTAGGATGGAGAGGTGGGGAGTACAGTATGTATATGATGTATGCGACACTGTACTTGTTCCCAATCCCCCACCCATTCATTGTTCACAGTCCAAGTACCTCCCATCGTTCCTCATACTCGGTTATTTTTTCCAAAGAGCTCCGACATGCTCAAACGCTTCCCCGCCGGGGACTCGTGCCCAGCAACATCCACAGACTGCGGCTCGGGGGTATAACCGCTGTTATCCACAATGCCCGCCGTCGCAGCCTGGATGTACGCGTCAAAAGCCAGGCGGCCTTCCTGCCATGCCGCCAAAATCAGAGTTGCGTGCATCTCCCGGGTGTTGCTCTCATCAGCATGAATCCACAGTCCCAAAATCTTCTTCTTCGGGCCTTCCTCCACACCGCCGCCCGCCTGGTGATTCCCGTTGCTGGTGTTATTATTACTGTCGTCCTCCAGCCGGAACACAATCAGCTCCCCAACCACCTCGCAGTCCGTCACCCGCAGCAGATCGATGACCAAGTTCTCCATACTGCGGCGATTAAGCACAAACACGCACACCCGCGGCAGCACCTGACTCGTGGGCGCGATGACTGGTTCCTGCTCGCACACAAACATGGTGCCCTCCGCGCCGTGCTTTTCCCATCCCTGTGTAGTCTCCGAGAAGGTGTAGGCGACCGCGTTGGCGGCGATGGCCATGATCGAGCGCACGCCAGGCTGGTAGCGCCGCAAAACCCGTAGACTGAGCTCGTTGTTGTCGCGCGCCGGTGGCAACTGACTGTGCTGGTTGTGCTGGTTGTTCTCCATGTATTGGGCCGCGTCGGATTCATAGTCGGACGCGGGGATCTGGCGGGGCCCGCCGGAGCTTCCATGGTGTCGGTGTCGTGATTTACGGGGCGTTTGTCGGCTCATCTTGTTCGGAGCGAATTAACCGGTTGAAGGGTCGGGAAGGGGGTCGCTGAAGATGTCGTGGAGTTGGGCGATGTCGGCTATCTCAGGACACAAGTTGGGAATTGGAAGCTCTGTCCTTGGCGGTTTGGGCGCGTCCGGCATTAACCCCACCGCCAAGCAACAACCAAACGGGAAAGTGGGGTTGGCGCAGAACAGTATCGCTACCGTGCGAATAACTAAGGGATCTCAAGCTCCAGATTCGGAGCGCCGACAGCTCGAGGGTGAATTCCGGACACGCTCATGGAACTTCAAACATCTGAGTAGGGCAGATTACAGTCCATAAATTCCCAGCATCCCACAAAAATTGACTCCCTGCTTTCTTCATGGGTTTGGCACGAGTGTCCAGGGGAAGATCCCAGTCACAGGATGCAAATTGGGTTTAAACTGACTTAACAAAGCAGGAAATAACTGCATTGCAGTGGATTAATCATATCAGGGTGCTATCTACAATCTCACGCAGCACATCCTCAAATTGGTCCCAAATACTTTAACCAACGCCCGAGCCCGGCTATTCTTCAGGCCTACATAGTATAAAAACAATCGCACGACAGAGGAAAGATTTCTCTATGGCCGGATCACCAAAACTGTCTTATCGAGGAATTGCGGAATCGCTGGTGCTAGGCTCATAGAGATCTGCGAAGAGAATGTCGGTGGGATAGCGGTGGCCCGAAGGCATTGTGGCTGCATCACATTGCGAATAAGGACATACTCTATTAAGATGGGGACGACTCACCATTACCATAACGAAACACTTACCATCGCCAACACCCGTCACCGATTCAGTGGGATCGGGGGCGCTTAGGAAACTGTCGGCAACGGTGCTTATCACAGTATCAAAGCTGACCGTTGTGCGGCTAAACACCGCCTGCGACGTTTGGTGTACGTTCCCGCTACTTGGATTACCACCTTCGCGTTGTGGTAGGCGAAAGGCCGCGAATGGAACATCGTGCGACAAATACATTGCGAGACGTTCTTCCTTTGTCAACACGGCTGTCTCGAGCCCGATTCGTTCGAACGCGGACGAGGCCCCCAAGGGATGCGAAAGGTTTCTAGCATGTTGGGGGGGCGCCGCGGAAAGATGTATGTGCAATGCTGTGGATGTGGGCACGGTGACAGCGGAGAGACCAGAATCGGTGCCATGAGCGGGTCCCGGAACTGGAAGCTGCTGTTCGGCCGGAGCCTTGGTACGTTCTTCAATTGGAGGCATATTCGAGCGACTGTCTGGAAGGTATTGATAGCGTTGACCTCGCAGCAAGCCGCGGGTTGAAGGCAACGTGTCTGCGTGGTTTGGGCGAGGGGAAAACGGAGAGCTCCCAGGAGAATGAAGCGTCCTCGGAAAAGGGGGAACTGGGAGGTACAAAAGGGACAGAGGGTGCGGTAGCGTAACTGGGATTTCCCCCTGAGCAATAGGGAGAGCGTGGGCCGTGCGGGCAAGTTCAAACAAGCTTCAATGGAACCCCCGCGTGGAATATTGCGGCAGTGCTTCGAGACTAATCTGGAGCCAGTGCCGCCCCTTCGTCTCATGCGCTGGGGCCGAAGAACTCCAATCCCTACCCTCTTAGTTGGATGCCTTGTGTTGCCTGAGGTTCGGGAAGCCCCGCAGGACGCTCCCTAGGGCATCTGTGGAGGGCAGGCCGTTGCGGCCCTGGCGGTGAAGCGATTGTGGGAGGGGGTGTTAGCACGGGGTTTCGGCACCCATCCCTAAAGCCGACCGGTGCGGATGACGATGTGCTTTGTCGACGCGGCTTGTGGAAACTCTGTCATGGTTACTCAAGACCTCCACTGGGGAGCCCCAGATGATTGAGAGAGATGTTGGGGATGGTGTTAGCAGCTGGGAACGGATCGGAGAAGCCGGCCTGGTCCCCAGAGTGGCCACAACGAGGGCGGGAGGACGAAGCCCGTAGCAACACATTCGACCGCGGCGCCGAGGACGAGGGTAGGATTGAGTGATGGTTGCCTTGTTCGCTAAGCAGTACCCTAGGGTGTACTTTTGGCCAAGAGAGTTCGGGAGGACTGGTAGCCAAGTCGACATCCCCGCGATGGAGTCAAAGCGGCCGGCTTGCAGGAACTGGGCTCTGTGAGAATGGAAAGAAAGTCGGGTTCTCTGAATGTCAGGCCGCTCGGGCGTCTCTCGGGTGCGCCAGCAGACCGTCCAGCAGTCTCATACAACTTCCGACGATGATGAAAGCCGTATGGGAGACCGAAGGGAGGAAGAAGGCGGGCCACCAGCGGCAGGAAGGCCGAGATGATCTCGAAACGGCGACCGAGGGGAGCGGTGAGAATGGTCGTTCAAGTCCGAAGCGGGGAACTTTCCAAGTTGCTGCACTTCACACGTTAAAGAGGGCGGTAGGAGCGGAGGGGTGGACAAACTGGAGCAAGCCAGTCGCCCACCTCGCAGGTGAAATGGTCCGCGTCCAACTTTCCAGTCTCAGCCATCCAGCATCCCCTTCCGTCTGCGCTTTCTGAGAATATTCCCGACGAGTCCAGCGTGACCTCTGATCCGTACCGATGCGGGATTTGGGGGCTGTGCTAAAAGCAGCAAGCATTGAGACGAAAATCGAAGACGGGGTTCATGCCGTGTAACCGCCCTCCTCGATGAAGAATTCCTTCATCCTGGCCGATTGACCCCTTGAGAAAGCACCGCCTTTGTTTTTGGCCGACAAGCATCGGGGATTCGACCGAACCGAACAAAATCGCGCATCTCTTCCATCAACTCAGCTGCACACCGCGTCACATCGGCGGGGTAAGTGGCAGCATCCGCGTGGTGTGCCTTGGCGAATCGGCGCGATGGATGATGGCCGCAGATGGCGGCATAAAGCGAGGCTTTCTGCGTCGGACGTGGCTGGTCGAAGGAGTGAGCGGTTGGCAAGGCAGTTTGGTCACACTGCAACGGTAGGGCTGGGGATGACGACGCCTTCTTTTGGGTGAGGAGAGTTGAACGCCTTGCGGAGGTCGTGGTTCGCAAATGGGGATGTGGTTTGCATCGGGTAAAAGTCGGAGCTGAAGATAAACAGTATTAAGTGTGAGTATCGCACTGTATGGCTGGGGCCAGGCGGGAGCCGGAGGGGAAAACCAAAAAGGGAGACCAAGCTCAGTTAAGTGGTAGAATACCTCGATTGCGGAACGCTCGAGGGGTGTCGCCAAAGTTTGGAAGCTCAAGCTTCTTCCGGAGCTGATTTCGTTTTCCGACTCCTGGCACAATAAAAATATATACTTCAATCGCGAGGGAAGGCCACACGGCATGTCGGTGGGATTAATCCTCCGGTCCTGTATTTGGTACACCAGGGGAGGCCCACAATATGACACTGTGTCGGGCGGCCACATGGATGGAAGGTTACCTGACGTCGCCGGCCGCAGGAGCCTTGGGCCTCGCTTCCGGCCCATACACCTACCTATTCCAGGGCCATGGGGCACCCCAGCACCATCACCGCTTGCACGCTCTTCTTAATTCTTTGGTCTTCGATCACACATTGACCAACGTGAAATCCTCAACATTTACCCGTCCAGGACTCCAGGGACAATTGTATCAATTGTGTATCCGTCTCGGGCTTCTCACAATGTGAGCAAGATTCTCGTGAGCAACAACTGCGGTGGCATGACCAAACGAACCCCGTACGTGTTGTGGGGTTCCGTCGGTGATAGTCCGACGCGGCGACAGTCACACAGTTATTGATTCTCATATTGGTAAGTTCAGAACTTCAGGTGGGTTAGGAGCCGGTAACCATCTTTCCAGTATAACGTGCCGTGGAGGGCATTCACAGTCAACCTTCGAGCGGTTGCTGAGACGCCCGTGCCTGGCTATTTCACCCAATGCGTGATATGTAAGTTCCTGAGGATAAATATCAGGCATCTCTCGAGGGGCCAGGCTTCCCGCGGCCTCTGGCGACCTCCAACGGCCACTTGCTGTTTTACGCTACCTATGATCAACATTCAAACACCGCCAGCTCCGCGGGAATCCTTCTGACTCAAACCCGGCGCTCCTCGTCCTAGAATAAGACGCTAAACTGTTCTATCGGCTCGACCCAACCAGCACCGCTAAACACCACCCAAATTTTCGAATGTTCAGCACATGTTAGTCCGCATACCGATGGGCGCTAAAACTACTGTAGGCAGCAGTATTGCTGCCAGCGAGGATCAGAAAACAGAGTCTCAGGACTGCGCGTGGGATGTAGGGCCAGGTTTCACACTCTGGCCTCTGCAACGTTGGGAACGGGTGGCTCGCGAGGGAAGCAACCAGTCAGTCCCAGGAAGCGACACCGCGACAATGGGGAGGCAGGCCCCAAGTTTTCGATCTCGTTCGCCCAAACTGACGTGGGAGGAAGAATCGGTCCCCACGGAAAGCATTGGGATTTCTCCCTTTTCTGACCTGTCCGACACGCTCGGGCCGTCTCCAGAAATGCTTTTCGGCCAGGTCGATGTCGACTTTTTCCCGGAGGACATGCCGTTTGATTACACGGCCTACTACTACGAAGACTTTCATGGTATGGATCCAACGAGCTCACCGTGCTTCGACGAGACGCCACCTCTGGCCTTATGGCCCTCGCCATCATCTTCGAATCCTCCCAGAACTTCTGAAGTGTGGGCATGTCAGGAATGCGACAAGAAATTCCACAACAAGAAAGCTTTAATGTCCGCTTAGCCACCCATATCGTTCATCCCCGAATCATTCCACGGTCTGACTGACGGTCGTCCTACTAATACAGGAAACACACGCGTTGTCACGTCAAACCGTTTCTTTGCTCTACCTGCCCGATGGGATTTTCGTTTGCCAAAGATCTTCGACGGCACGAGCTGAGTCGCAGTCACGGCGGCCAAAGTTCTACTTTATTACTTCGATGTTCCGAATGCCCTTTCAAATTCAAACCATGCCGAAAGGATAGCTACAAACGGCACTTGAGGTTGGTTCATGGGACAAAAAAGGATTCCGGAAAGGAGTTGGGACGAAACTCTTTGCAAGGAAAAAATCACGAAAGAAAACAACCCGACGGGAACGGATGACCGTCTGGATTATGTTGATGGAATAGTTTTGAGTTTCTCCTCTATAATTATTTTCCGTTCTAGCTTCTAGGAGTTCATTGAATTAATTATCAAAATTACCCACTTCTCATTACGTCTCCTCCAGTCCACACGTAGTACCCCAGACAGGGACCGCCGGCTGCAGCTGCAGACATGAAACCCTCAACTGACATCAACCAGCTCATCCATATTATTGCCTAACAAGCTCTCAAAGAACTCGCCACGCCGGCCAGCAAGACACTCCAGCCTGCCACATCCACCGCCCAGAGCCAGCCCACCCGCCCCCGATCCAACCGACCCAACAGTCCCTCATTTCTCCCTTCAGTAAAACCATCACTAACCCACGCCACCGCAGCCCCCAGGACACTCAACCGCACCAGCGCCAGCGCCCCACCCGCTACATACCACCACCCAGCTTTATGCGCTGCAATCAGCGCGTTGCGGCGCACAAATAGGTTAGCAATCGACGCCGCGGCGGTGATGGCGGTCAGGGCCGAGGTGACTTTGACACTCATAGGGACTACCCTCTCGAGCGGGGGGGCGTAGTATGGCCTGGTGTCGTGCGCGAATGGCGGTGGGTTTTGGACAAAGAGGGCGAGGGTGTAGCTGGTCAGAGCCGTGGTGGTTAAGAGCGGTGTGATGCGCAGGAGGACGATGGGGTCGAAGATTCGGCGAGAAGCCATGATGTTTTGTTGGGTTGGGCCGGGGATTGCGTGGCAATCTGGGCCAGGCAAGCTGGACTGGTGCGTTTTCGCCTGTTATTGATCGAGAATGTGTTGTTGCTGTATCTGGAAATTGTGGAGTGGAAATGTCCTTTTGCGTTTAAGAGCGATCGCCGTTTTTCATATCCCTGAGTTTCGCCCAAGATTCTCGCGACTTCCCCTGTACAAAAACTCAGCTGTGGCTGACATTGACAAACGTTACACAAGTTCCTCGCCCAGTCGTTGGTCCCATTTGCTAAGCCACTGAATTACGCACGCTCGGAACCAAGCGAGCCAGACACGTGTGTAAAATCGGTCGTTCTGAAACAAAACCAGGGTGCGAGCAGTGCCTCAGTGGTGTATTGCTTCTGGGAACTGACTGAGATTGATCCACCCTAACGCATAATTCTATGATCCCAAAGTTCACTCCGGATCAAACATACCAATCCGAGATAATAATGCTTGAATCTGCTAGCACATGATCTTCTTGGTGTGTTTTTGAGCGACAGGGGAGACGAACATTTATACATATCCATGTACAAACAGCAATTACCTTACACGAATTACTCCGTGCCTAGTTCGCGAGTGTAAACTGACAGGTCTTCGACGACCTCAGTGCACAGCGCCGCTTCCGCCCCGCGATTTTTACTTCTTTCCCATCCCCAGCACGCCTATCGATCCGCCCCTGCCTATGCTGACCAGAACGATGACGCGGACCACCTGCGGGCCGTCCCTGCCGCTTACCGCTGACCCGGTCATGACGCCAGACATCCTACCTACGCATGCCCGGTCCCACTATATGGTTGTTAGGATGACCAGGTAACCACTCATACCTCCCCATTAACATCATCCGATCAACAAGATGAAAAGTCACCACCACCCAACGACGAACACCCCCTCTACCCTAAGGCTATCATGCTCCAACCCCCTCTTTGGCGTTAGTGCTCGTGAATGCAATGCCAGGAACGGCGGGGCATTCAGGAGTTGAGAGGGTTGATGGGGCAATACGGCTGAAGTTTCCCAGGAGTTGGAGACTTGAAGTTTGGGTGTGCCGGCTGACTATGGTATAATTAGGGAATGCTAGGTATGCATTTTGGGGTAAGTATCGCAAGTACCCTAGTTTTGCGAAGGCGGGGGAAAGGAACAGTGAGGGCCAATAACTGGGGAGGTAGCATGTGAAACTACCTAGATATTCAAGCTGTGGAACAAAGGAAACAATGCGTGCGGATGCGCTTAGTCTGGGTAAAAATACATGCAGGCCCCCGGTAAGGGGCTACCTTTCCCGCTACCACCATTCCTAGGGTCGTCGCTGGCTTCCCGCAGTTGCGTTCTGGCTCGTGGGCTGAGGCAGCTGGGCATGCTTCGGAGGAGGATGAGCTACAGCGTTGGGATTCAGACCAGGCTGTGGAAAGGGGGTCACCGTTCTAGCAGGGGGCTTTTGACTGGCAACTCGTGGATGAGTGGATGTAGGCAGTGCCGTCTTGAAATTCTGGGCTCCGGGTCGAATCTTATCGGAGGGTTTGACATTGGAACTGGTAGTTTAATTGGCACGATTGTCCTTCGACGGGTGAGGTTGAGTCACAACAGGGCGGGCCACAGCGGGCCGCTTCCCTGGCTTTCCGGTGCCATTGCTCAGAGACAGCTGAGCCATGGCCGGCGCCAAAGAAGGATGAGGGGACTGGGATTTATTTGACGAAGGGCTGAGAAAGGGTGCTGCTGGGCCCGCGTGTGTTGTCTTTGTTGTGCCTTCGCCTCGAGAGCAGGGAAATACCTGTTGCGCCACGCCGTGATTCTTAGGTCGAAGGCCATAACATACCATGAACTTCCCGCCAAGCCACTGGATCTGCCGGCTCTAGGCCTCCGCCCCGGCACCGAACTCCAACCACAAGCTAATGGGGTTATCCTCGGCATGGATTCCCGTGGCGTGTGTTCTGGAAAGCCTCGTGTTCTTGTTATCCCAGTGACAATGCTTCCGACATTCTTCGTGGCCACCGCCTGGACCCAACAACCGCGTATGGGGGTTGTTAAGAGCAAAGTCGCGGGGGATGGTCGAAATGAAGACCATACTCTTACCCTCCGGCCGCGTTGAACCGTCGTTTTCTTCATAAGGGACTACTAAGGCGGCAACGACACACGCACCGTTCCTGGTCTTTGCTCCACCCCCCCTTGGAAATGGCGTCGTAAAAGCTTCGAGCATGTTCGAGCGCGTGATGCCATTCCATACGCCATGGAATGTCCCCAACTTGAGTCCATGTCTTCAGCTTGTTGAAAATAACAAGAACCCTGTCTTTCCAGTCTTCCTGAGTGAACTCCGGTGGGGACGGACAAAGGTTGGCGGGGCTAGACATGCTGGTGGTACTTATGGTGGGCGTATCACTAATTGTTGCAGAGGAAACCACCTACCTGACGTTCTGTTGGGTAGACCCTATCGGCCAATGTTGACGATGTCGGGGAGCGGGGAGAAAGGGATCCTCAACGGATAACCAGTAGTAAGCCCGCACGAACATGGAAACCAGTCCGGGCAGCTCAGTATGAATTGTGAACGAAATGAAGGGGATATCGTTCCTTGATAGACGAACATGTTTCAGGTGCGGGGATTGCTGTGACCTATCTTGACCAACGAGAAGATAAACAAAATGAAGAATGTAACAAGGTGGTTGGGAAGCGCGGGTTGAGTTGACTTGGACTAGCTGCGGTAGTATAGGTACTGAACGAACACTCATAGGAATCGGGGGAGCTTCGGGGACAGATGGGCTCATTAATATACTGTCATAATCCTCCGTCTTAAATGCTCGATGTCGAAGCTGTGGACCGGTGATTACTTGTCCCAAACCCCCACCATGCTCATGGTGTCAAACATGGCCGCATGTGGTCAATATCGGCCTCTTGTATCTTCATCAGGCTCATCGATCACGGTTAGACAGTGCTTGGGCTGCCAAGTAACTGAGGGGTCCGTACAGGAAACTGGGCGTTGCCAATCATCAGCATATTGCGTTTTGGTCCAACGAGTCCTGGATGGTTACCGGACAGCCGTCGGCCAACAAGCTACGTACCTAATCTTGGCACATGGGCCGGCTCTCTCTTCTCGTTTTAGTTTGACAGCTTGGTGGTGCTAACCGCACTGGTGACCAGAAAAACCCCTCACCTACGTCTTGTTAGACTTGAGTATTTTGGTGTTTAGATGGGGACGGTGTTGCCTGAGCCGGTTAGCTAACCCATTTACGTTGGCCGTCTCGTCTCAGGTCCGGTCGCTTTTGGTCCCCCTTTCCATGGGTGAAGATGGCCATAGGCCGGACCAGAGAGACCTCAGATGGCCTTGGAAGTTTAAATGGCCGACCATTTCGGCCAGCACCAACAAAGTATCAGACTGATGAACCCGTTTTGTTCGGCCACATTGGGGGCTGACCAGTAATGCGGCCGGTTTGGTCAGGCAATCATGATTTATGGTGACCCCTGGAAGGAAATGCAAAGGGGTGCCGCAATGCTGAAATCAACAACACATCGGGTATCTTGCTAACCGGTACTAGAGGTGGAAGGCTACCTAGTACCTACCTAGGTAGGTAAACGATGTACAGGCGGGCCCTGGACCCCTGGCTACCTGGTATGTACCGGTAGTGCCAACTCGACTCATGGTCACAGGCCATTGGCAAGACCATAACCTAAACCCACCGAGACCCCAAACACGGTAGGTCCTGGGAAGCCCGCCGGATGGCCCGTGTGGTGGGGCCGTAGTTGTTCCGACAATTGTCGGCCCGAGGAGCCAACAGTTGAAGTTTGAACGTGGTTTCTGCTGGTCTCACGTGACTGATGCAATTTGACCGCTTGCCTGCCCCCAACCATGTCCTCCAAACCACCTCCAAACCAACAATCACACGTTGGTTACAACCACTTCACCAATCTCGTGCCGCACCCATCTCTCGCTGGGCCGAGCCCTCTTCACGTCCTGCGCCCCACATCAATGGTCCCAAGCTTCGATCTACCTAGCTAGACCACGGATTTCTCGAATTGAGGGAAAATATGCGCTCTCAGGGACCGCCGTCATGTGAACCAGGATTCCTCCAACTTCCGCGAAGGGCCCGGTATCGAATTTACCGGCATGTGCAGGTAACGAAGTCGAAATGGCGGCTGCCGTTTGTGTACGACTTTAACCTCTGGAGAAGTCACGCAAAATTTCCCGACCGTTGGAATCGCCGGATCCCTCACCCAGCGCGCGAGTTCGGGGGCCTGCTGCGATCTTGCCGCGCCATTTATACCGAGGTCACAACGTTGTTCTACTCCACCCACCGCTTCGTCATTCATTATTCCCAGCCCGGCTCTTTCCGGCCTCTTCTAGCTCTCTCGCCTGCGATAATATCCTCCCTCACCAAACTCGACATTGTTCTGAACCAATCCTCTTGCCATCAATTCGTTAACTCGGAGTGCTACCCTCCAGAGTGCTGCTATGAGGTAGGGCTCGGAGGTGGCGTGAGACTCTCTCAAGGCGTTCTGGGTAAAAATGTTTACATTTGCCAACTGTACCCTAAACATCACCCTCACCAGCCTTCTTTACTTGGCGCTTCATCCGATGACTACGCCGATACACTACTCAAGGAGTGGGAGGAGGTTGCAGCCCACCTCGCGCCTCACATCACACATAACAACCTGTGCCTCTCAGTTGTCTGCGACCTTGATCCGGCTCATGAGAACGCCTTAAAAGTTGCAAAGCAAATTGCTGCTCCATTGGCCGTGTTTCCCCAACTTAAGGACTGTCACATCCGGTTCTCTAAGCTATGGGACCGTCAACTACAAAGCTTAGCCTGCGACACGGTTCATAAAGCCCGTGCCCATACGTTACCTCTTTCCTCTGCCCAGAGTACAAAGAGGACTGGTCTCGCATGCCTACCACCCGAGCTTCGGATCCGCATCCTTGAATACACCGACTTGATACCGCCTTGGAAAGAGGTCTCATGGAGCCGTCAAGACCAAAAATATCTCTTAAATCATCCGATCTGCGACCTTGACGGCCGCAGGGACCTTTCGCCTAATGGGGCTTGCCCGCCGGATGTTCACCACGGCTGCTTACTCCACCAGTGCCACGGCGGAGCCGCCATGTTCCAACCAGATTACGACACCCACCCAGGCTGCTTCTGCCGTCGCCGCCATGGCGCCTTTTCATCGCGCTGCAGATGTTGGACCCCACCCACATACCTGTTTCTCATATGCCGCGATCTGTGTCGTGATGCCCAATACGTCTTCTTTTCGAGAAATCGCTTCATCGTCCACGACTTCCACGCCACACCACCAGATGAGATACCACCGGTACAACATGAACCCCCACCCGCGGACAACTCCAGCAGCCTGCAAAAATACTATCCATTTGACCGCCTAGCTGCCGCAGAATTCCTCGACGTTGTCCCCGACCACTGTCTTGGCCACCTGCGTTTCCTCGAACTCGTGTTTCCGCCTTATGCCCCGCATGGCTGGCCGAGAACTAACCATCCTGCGCTTACCGACTGGGCCCTCACGACCAAGAAACTACGTCACGCGCTAGAGGCCTCTCGCAATAGCCTGCAACAGTCCCCGGTCCTAAAGATTCGTTTTATCGTAGCCGGGGTATGACGCCGAGAACATCCTACTGCCCGTGAGGTGACCAAGGAAGAATCAAGGGGAATGGTGGGATGCTACCAGCAGATTATATATCCTCTCAAACAGCTGGTGCAAGTCAACCTGGTCGCAGCGTTGTACGTAAAACCCCTCGTGCCGTGGATATACAACAGCTGGTTTACGAAGGACGCCTCCTTCGACATGATTTGTGTTTGGCGCGAGCTGGCGGAGAAAAAGCTCAAACACTATCTGGAGAGAATAGGAGGCGTTGAGAACACGCCTGCTTCTCTTCACATAGAGGAACCGCCCAACAACACGTGGTATCACTGGTATGAAGTGCATTTCTATTGAGTCAGCGACCACGGGCTGGGTCGTCAAGGCTACCGGCCAATCTATGATGGAAGATAATTCGGTATGGATGCATTGTAATTGAATTCCGGGGGAAGTAGCAGGTCGGGGTTGTCTTCTCATTGAACATTGCGTGCTCTCGCATTTCAGCCAGTCTTATAATGGTTACTTCCATCAGAAGAACACACCTGACAGAAAATAATATTGTGAATTTATCCCCCTTGTGTTTAAAACAATTGACCCACAACTCACATATCAATTAGTTATAGAATTTGAACATAATTAATTACGGCAGTCTCCATCAAAACACAAAACTCGCGTACGTCGGCACAAGCGGATCATCCGAAATAATCCGTCATCTTGTCCGAGCAATGCCAATAATAACGGTGACTGAGACACAGCCCCCAAAGTCTGTTTCCACAGCGGGATGTCAGTTGCAAACTTGTAATTCTGCGGTCATAATCCGACGGAGAGGTGTCGGGTGTGGAGATCGCTCCTGAGAGCGGCACTGTCCAGACATGGCCGAGGCAGAGGTTGAGGCGAAGACACAATGCTAGGGCCAAAGCCATGTGCTGATTACAAGTTTGTAAAACTGAAATTCAAATGGTATTCGCAAAATCAAACCCGCTAACTATCTTATTTACCCCTAACGTTAACCGTTACGCCAAACTCTCTCATTGTATGTTTTCATTGCATGTTCCCAATTAAAATATCAGTGGATCTCACTTCACACTCGGCCATGACGTGGTGCCCAGTATCAACACAATCGCCACACGCCCGGAATTACACGTTTCGAGAGACGTGCGGGTCGTACTCCGTAGTGACACCCTGGCGGTGCCCATACTGGCCCTGCTGCTGCACCAAGAAATGTTCGTCCTGTCGAGAACCCGAGCCATTCCGTTGATGCCCCTGATGCGTCTCACGCTCCCGCTCATGCCGCGACGCAATGGCACTCATGATCAACCCGATCAACCCCCCAATGAGACCCCTGGGCTTGCGCCGACCAAGACGACCCGCGCCACCCCTCCGGCCCCCGCTCTGCGAACCTTGACCTTGATCGTCCTTCCACGGCCGGGAAAGAATCTCCCCCTGTTCTTCCTTGCTGAGTTTGACCAGCCGCATACCGATGAACAAGTAGATCGCGACGACGATGAACTCCTCGATGGACGCCATGCAGAGGTGCACCTCAAAGGGCGCGCCGTACCGCCTGAATACACCGCTGTGGATGAAGACGGTGAGGAGGGAGTAGAGCACGCGTACGGCGATGAGCGGGCAAGCGAGGAATACGGCGGTGATGATGACGCGTTCGGCGGATGGGACGAGTTGCCGGTGCGGGGTGGAGAAGATGAGAATGACGACGGTTCCGATGAAAGCGAGCGTGTACAGGACGATGCTGACCTTGGAGGTCGTGGGTGGTGAGTTCGGGTCGCTGCTGCTCGAGGAGCCGACGGCGGTTAGGATGGTGCCGATGAGGACGAAGAGCTGGATGGTGCGGAAGTGGATGATGGTGATGAATGGCCTTTCCAGTTCGCGGTTGACCCAGTCAACTCTGTGGGTATCAGGGTTAGTATCGTTATGGTTTTGTGTTGGTTCAGACGGGGTAATTATAGGGTTGTTGACGCACAGTCGAGACAGCATTCCGAGGGTTGCGAGAACAAGCGGAGTTAGACCAATGCTCTCAAGAGCAGCGGCAGCTATAATGAGGTTTGTGTCGTCCGGGTTTGCCTGAGACGCGATTTGCAAAGAGGCACCAACGACGCGGACAAGACACAGTAGTAACGTGTAAAGCCATCTGCCCGAGTTGTTAGTAATCATTGTCGGTGAACATGGTGTGCAACGGGACGGGCTCTTGCTCACCCAGAGCTACGAGAGAACCCATGGCGTATGCAAACGAAAATCGAAACAACTAAAGCCGGGACGTAGACAACCAGCTCGGCGATACCAATGATGGTATTGTTGGAGAGCGTCATGGTGTGCTTGGCAGCGGCCGGGTCGCGGTGCTTGGCTCGGGAAGATGCCTGCCAAAAAAGCTTATTTCAGAGAAGGATGTGGGTTCGCGTGGACAAGCCAATGGGAGGGGGCCAGCTCAGGAAGAATTGAGAGTGAAGAAAGAAATAGTTAACGAGATTTGAATAACGGTTCTGAAGAACAGATATTCTTGAAAGCTCTTGGCCTAAACCATCGAGGGGGTTATATAGCTATCTAACTATGCATCTCAAGAAAAGAGGAGAACTCGCGCGGTGGCCCTCCCAACATCCAACATGCTCGGCTTTTCTGTGGCCCAAACTGCATCGTTAACGATCCATCGCTCCAAATTCGGGGTCGCTTTTCGAACGGTCGGCGGAAATAACAGCAAAACAAGGGACGATCCACAGGCGCAAGCTTTTTTCCTTGCCAATCACCCAAGGAAAAACCAGATGACGACGGCACGACGGGCAAGCCACGCACGCAGGCCCAAGGTTTTGGTCTCTACGGGATCCCCGTTTGGGAGAGGAGAGACAAGGAGGATTCAGCCCTGGCGAGACGTTGGAGGCTCAGTCAACAACGACCCACCAAAAGAAGGTACGGAGTGGGCCATGCTTGAAGCGGGGATCCCCGGAGGAAAGAACATAGCGAGCCCTCATTGGCTGAAATCCGGGATTCTTCGTTGCTGCCTCAGGTCCCGGGAGGGTCCATGCTTCTCATTTTTGGATGGCGCTAGGCTACATCCGGTATGCAGTGGGAATGTTGCACTGCCGACTGCCGGCCTGGCGGCGACGAGTAATCGGGTCACTGTGAACATCAGCAACAGCAGTCAGGGCTTCAGAAATCAAAGTTTCGGTTGCCGCAGCCGGTTACTTTGCATTTCAGAGACTGGATGCAGCAGGGGGGCGCCAAAAGAGGCCGCCAACCGGCCAGCGTCCGCGTCTTCACAAACAGTCGCAAAAACCCCGTGCGATCTCCCAACGCGAGCGCTTCGACACGAAACGCCAAGTCAGGATTGCGACGATAAAGTTTAGCGGACTTGGGAAACTCGCTCGCCTGAGAACCCGGAAGGCCCTCGGGGAACGTAAAATTCGGTGTGTAACGCAGGTATTGCCGGTATCAAGGCGTCTTGTGTTTTCCGCCCTCCCTTTTTCCGACCCCGTCGCGGTTCCTTCCCCGATATGGGATACTGTGGGAGGCCATCCACAGCATGCCACACATGCCGCGTGAAGCGTGGCAAGGTTAGTGCCCCCGACCCCATCCGACACCTGCTTCCAAAAGTGGAAACAGGTCTGGGTGGCCGCCTAGGTTAATTAGTGTGCTTGCCCGAGTCGAGTGTAGCTAACCAACACGCTTGTGCGAAAAAAATCAAAAGTGTGACAGGAAACGGCCGGGCTGCAGCCAATGCGCACGAAAACGTATTCCTTGTCCCGGTTATCCGGACCCTACCGCGCTCGTCTTCCGGGACCAAACGCAGGCCACGGCCCGAAGGGTGCGGGCAACAAAACCGGGATATGGGGCCGATCCCTTCGCCCCGGCCATCAGCCCTACGGGCGGGCTTGAGTACGACCTTGTCCCATTCTCGGCTTCCTCAGGCGACGATACCGCAGACTCGGATCCGGACAGTCCCGATCCGCTTCCAGGTCCTCTCGCCCATGCAGTTCACAGCCTGCAGGGGATCTTCTCGATCCCGCAAAGCTTGACAGTGTCGCCCGATGATGCGGCGAGAACGTACTTCCTAACCTGCTACGGCCCCGCAAGCCCGGTCGACCATCTTCCAGAACTGGAAGAGCTCCTTCGTAGTACGGAGGTCTCCGCCTCGGCGTTCCTAGCGCCGGCCTTGGTAACCCTATCCCGGGAGCTCAAGGACCCGGCGCTGATGGCCCTAGGAAGGAAACATTATACAGCCGCTTTACAACACACAAACCGGGCGCTAGCAAATACACAGGTAGCCACCAAGGACGAGACCCTCGCCTCGGTGATGATGCTCGCTCTGTACGAAGCCCTCACCTTCCAAGGCCGCCGTTCTCCGGAAAGCTGGAATGCCCACATGAACGGTGCGACCGAGCTGCTCAAACTGCGTGGCCCACGCCAGTTCGACACGGCGCTCGGCAGGACTCTGTTCCTCGACGTCGTAGGCGACATCCTGGCGTCCTGTTCACAGCGCCGGATACCTACCCCTCCCGGTATCGTCAATCTACTGTCACAGCTCGGCCCCATTGTCGGCCCGGACAGCATGCACTTTGCCATCGCGCACGCGGCCGCCGAGATGGCCGACATCGTGAGCTTTGTCGCAAGCCAGTGGGACCACATAGCGGTGTCCGCGTCGCAAATCATCGTTCGCGCACGCCGTGTCGATGAAGTTTTGAGCGGCCTCCAGGACCAACTCCCCGCTCATCTCCCCTACACCGTCCTCGACCCGGCCAGCGCACCCGCTTCGTCGTTCCAGGGGGTTGCCCATTGCTACGAGGACCCCAAGTCCTGCTGGATCTGGAACAACTGCCGCATGATGCGCGTCTTTCTCAACGGGTTCGTCTCTCGCGCCGCACTCGCCTGGATGGCCGCTCTGCAAAACGCACCACCAGATGCAGAGGTGTCGTCAGAACTACACTCCGAGTCCCTGAAAGCCGCGGTGGTCAATGTGAAACGCCAGGGGACAGACATCTTAGCATCGGTATCATACTGCCGCAGCCTACCGGCCGGGAGCCATGAGCGCGCGATGGCCGCCCGGGGCCTCACTTGGCCGCTGTCGGCGGTCGCCACGTCTGTTGTTGCACCTGGAGCGATGAAGACATACGCACGGGATGCGATGTTTTCCTTGGGCGAGGAGATTGGGATACCGCAGTTGATTGATGCTGCGAAAATGGTGGATGATACGCCTATGCCGGAAGACTGGTACGTGGTTACGTTTAACTTGGTGGGGTTATCAATCAACCTCTGCTAACAATGTGACTTTCAGGGTTCATATTGTCCACTTGTCATGAGTTTTCCTCAATTGGGTGGTTGTTTCTACTTTGTGGCTCACGGGCTGGGCCGACAGTGGGTTTTAGTATCTGGCGTTTGAATCTGGGCGGGCATTCTGGTAACGAATTGATGGAGTTGTGAGGAGAGCTATGATCTCAGGACTGAAATGTGCGATAATTGCCTAGAGTAGGCAATACCTTGCAGTTTAACGGTTCCATTTGTGTTGTTTTACCAAGACCACACCACACTGGTGCAAACTCACCCGCAGGGCCCCGCTCTCAGCTGCCAGATGCCGTCCGACCATGCAGGACGGGACTATTTTGGGAGGAATCAGTGACACGTCAACATGCCGACGTCGTAATACCGAAGAAGCAATACCAGGGAGGCAAATCCTCTTCGTATTGCGGTTAAACTGCCGCCTCGTCGTTTTTGCCTTTTTATTTTAAACCAAAGACTCAACCCCACCCCAAACTTCCAGGAATTTCAGCAAATCCAAGGGTTCACACTTCCACTCGATCAACACGCCAAACTACACATTGACAACACCACATCTCACCGTCACAATGATCTTCGCCACCGCCCTCGTGGCCTCTCTCCCGCTCCTCACAGCCGCCCACTCAACACCACATCCTCAACTCCCCCGCCAATCCAACCCAGACCCAGACCCCCAACTCCTCCCATGGCAAGTCACCACCCTCACAACCCACGCCCCCTCCGGCCGACCCGGCAACCCCCCCTACTCCGTCCTCTTCGTCAACATCACCGACCCCAACACCATCCCGGTCCCCTTCAACGGGACCTCCATGGGCAGCCCCATCTCCTTCCCCCCTCTTTCCGCGGCCTGCGTCCTCCGCTGGAATGGCTACGTCAGCCTCGATACCTATCCCGAAGAAGACCCCTTCGGCCGCGTGACGGATTGCACGGTGGGGCCCGCGGCTGTGAACTTGGCGACGGCGGGGAGGTGGACGGTGACGGTGGGGAAGCAGAATGAGACTGGGTATGGGCCGTCGGCGACGAGGGATTTTACGTTGACATTTGGGTTGGAGGAGAGTATGATGGTGGAGCAGGGGATTGTGAGTGTGCGGTATGAGGGGACGGGGTCGTTTGCGGTCGGGGAGAATTTGGGGTTGGAGTGTGGCGGGAGTGGGACGTGTAATGTGTGGTTGAATGAGACGGTTGTGGAGGTGGAGCAGAAGTTGGTGGCTACGACGTGTTTGTCTGGGAAGTGTTTGGAGGAAGGGGAGTAACTGTGAGGTGATTATTTGGTGGCATTCATGGGGGGGGTGTCCAGTTGTTTTGACGTATCCCACGGGGCAACTAGAGTGCGATTAGATGAAGAAAAAGAGATATGATTTGTGCTGCCATCCTATGAAACCGTTCAAAAATATTCCTTAAGCCATCCATAAGTTCCATAACCCCCCGTTGCCCCCTTACATCAGAATACCCACCAAAGATACCTCTTCCCTACCCCCTAGTGCTTGACGGTGATCTCAAAAAAGTGGATATTCGACGCCGTCGTGCCCTGCAAATAGTTCCCAGCCTTAAAGTAACTTGCCGGCGAGTCCAACTGGAACGTATCCAGCACCTGCTCACTACCCCCATTGATCAACACCGACAACTTCCCGCCCTCATACCGAATCTCATACGTAAATTCCGTTCCCACAGGCACATTCCCAACCTTCTTCACAATCTGGTTGCCCCCATCCCTCGTCTGCTCCACCCCCATCGACAGATCCCCGTTGGCAGCATAATACAACTCTGCCACAGGCTTCGTCGACACCGAATCATCGATATGAATCTGCCCCACCACCGTGCCAGACTTATCCCCCGTGCTCGTCGCTAACAACCGCCCAAACAGCCGGTTCGTGGCCGCCTTCGGATCCCACGACGCCGGCTGTCCGTTGCTGGGGTTGACCTCGCGCAGCTCGGTCCGGCAGTGCTTGCTGTTGGGGGTGGTCACGCACTGGGCCGAGTCGGGGGAGCCGGGGACTTTGAGGACGAGGGCGCCGTCGTCGGGGTTGGTGAAGAAGAAGTCCGGGTTGTCGAAGCCGTTGCAGCCTTGGAGGTCGGCGCTCTTGATGGTGGTTGGTTTGCCCGGGTCGCCGACGGGCAGTTGGAGGTTCCAGGGCTTGAGGTCGAAGTTGCCGCCGGGCGCGCACTTGGGGTCGAGCGCGGCGAGGGTATAACCGCCCCAGAGGGAGAGAGCGAGCAGGAGGGAGTTCATGGTTTTGGTTGTATGGAATGGCTGAGTAGATACTCGGGAGTTGGAACTTGGAAAGTGAAATTGTATGCGATGTTGAGAAGTGAGGTGAAATGGATCGACGCAGGGTCCGAACCCATTCAATTTATCCAAAACGCACTCGCTAGCATGAATATCACAAGAAGCTCAATGTTCCCCAAAATCAACCCACCGACTTCAGCTCTCATCTCACGCCGTCACGACGGTGTTTCGAAACGGGGCCATGGCCGGGCCAGGTGATCTCAATGCTACCCAACCGGGCCGGTCCGATTTGTTGTCAGAACTTTCAGGGGCTTTTACGACCAGCTGTTTGGCGCCGACGCCGCAATTGCCGGGTCGCAAATCTGGGGTCGAAGTAACGTGAGACGAGATGAATCTCCCCACGTTTGGGGAAACGAGAAGACGGAGAATTCGTTTTCCACCAAAAGGAAGCGTTAGTTTCGACAAACATACTCAAACACTGCGATCGTTCCATGTTGTCTCGTTGTGGGCTGGCTGCTGGCTTGTGGAGCGCTGTTGCGTTAGGCAGCCATTTAGCGATCTGAAAGATGTGACGCTGGGTTTGACCTTCCCAAGTCGACTACACCCCCGTGCGAATCTGCTGTTAGAAGCGCCTCGTTTTACAGATAAGGGACCGATCGTGAAGGTCTCGGTGGGTTGTTGTTGAACAGCAAGAGCTCGACATCATGCAAGCTATCGACAAACTCGGAAAGTCTTCCCATTCTAGTTGTCAAGATTCCAAACACTCGCCATGTAAATGGTCAGTGTAGAAGCTTATGTATTTGTGTGAAATAATTGACCATGAGCACTCGAGATTGTACGAGTAATGGCATGCACCACTCGAATGTAAGGGGGGATATAATGGTGGTTTGTGTGTTGTAAGTTAGGTATGTACCTAGGTATAGTTATTTACAGTTATCGAGGATTAAGTAATAATTAATAGGTAAGTACCTGTTGAATGAATGTTTTTTCTCAACCCGTCAGGCTTCTCTTCATACCTCGATGTTTAACCAGCCTACTTGGGTAGGTAGACTTCACAAGTTCAAACTCCTGTTAGGTTTCGGAAACCTGAGCATCGACCTCTCCATCAGTCCAACGTTTATAGTCACTAAAGTAGGCGTCGTGGATCCTCCTCGCGTATTCCATCATCACCGGGAACCCCCGCACCACTTTTTCTGTCGCTGGTGCTCTGTAATTATATCATGTTAGTCTACGCACGCTCTCACTCTAGGTAAGTGAGAAAACAATCTTTTTTTGAAGATGAAAAAAAAAAACTTACTGTAAGCGATCTAGTGATCCCACAATAAATCCAAAGACTGTGGCATCCGCCTCCGTCGGCTGAGGACCACCAAGGACCCAGAACGGCCCAACCTTGCCCTTCTCTTGTGCCTTTCTGTGCGATTCGACCAGCAATTCGTTGACATTCTCCCATGCTTCTGCCCCGGCTGCGGCGGCCTCCTCGTCGGTGTACCGCAACGCGCCCTGGCCGTCAAGTCGATCCTTGATCTTGCGGTACAGCACAAGACCTAAAACAACCCGGAACGGCCATGGGATAAAGCCGAGTGTGTCGTCCCGCATCGCGTAGTAGTTGTCCATCCATCTCTCTCGGGCCTACGAGGCGTTAGCGACGACACACATTAAATCACCGCAAACGAAAAAAGAAATAGAAAACAAACCGCGAAAAAATACCACCGATCCTCCAATAACGCCCTCACCGCGACATCCTTCGCTCTCTCCGCTCCCGTCAACCTAGAATTCCAATCCGCTATATGCCCGTCCCGAACCAGCCGCTCCGTAATCAACGCCGAATCCGTCAACAGCTCCTCTTTTCCTTTCTCCCCCTCCACTATGGCGGGCGACTCCAGCTTCACGAATGGGACCTTGCCGCGCGGTGCTTGAAGGAGAGATCCAAATTCTGTACGGTAAGCGAAACCGCTGAGACGCAAGCGCGTTTCGAGTTTGAGGACAAAAGGTGATGCGACGTAGTGGTTGCCGACGGCGGCGCCGCAGTAGACTGTGAGGCTGGGGACGGGTATTGGAGTCTCCATGGTGCTTTGTTCACTTTGGCGGTTACATCGATGCCAAATGAGGAAATTGCGAGAAGATGGAGTTTCTCAGGAACGGAGATGTCAGCAAACTTTTATTGTGTGAAAAGTTTCATTAGCCCCGTTCGTTGCCGGATTCCCAAAAGGCTCCATGGAGGATTGACAATCGTTCTAAATCCGGAACACGAGTTCGCGAGAGAGCCAATGATTCCATTGCATTGGTGTCGCTCGAATCCTTCCCAGTCAGATGGGGCGGAGACACGGAGAGTACCGGGGCATGGTGTTCTAGTTCCAGATCCTGGTGGAACCAAGGCAGCTGCTCTAAGTACCTCCCACTGAACAAACTACGAGGTCAACAATTTGCAATTGGCCAAGGAGATTTACATGGAAGATTTGTTCCACTCTTAGGCCCAATTTAACCAATGTCTAATGGGAAGAGAGCCCTGACTACCTCTCTCAACCGACCACGTAAACACCTGGAAATGTGCCCCATCGAATCAGCTAAACCATACCAGATACAGCTGGGTACCTTAGGTAGTGGAGTATTTTTCATATGCCAACCCTTATCCATTTACCTCAGTGTACGCTCTAATTCACACTTCTCATTGTAGGTACTGGAACACATTAGAATCGACTCTGTTTGGTAGGCTGCATGTAGTACCAAGCCACCAAACCACAAAATTAAAGAGCAAATGCTAGTTCAAATAGTGCGAATGCAAGCTACTGCTATGACACATTCCACCAGGAGTAAAGATTCAGAACAACGCAATAGCGTTAGGTGGCGATGCCACTAACCCAGGGTGATTCAGGGGCGCGGATGTCAGCAAGAAGCTGTACCGCCCCGTTTTCTTTGCGTACGCGGCCACGGCCTTGAGATCCCAGAGCTCGCCAATGGACATGCCAAACTGTGTGAGCAACCAGGGATGCAGGACTATTTTCTACGATTAGCATTCGTCCGGCAAGATAAAAAAAAAAGGGGGGGATGACCAGGGAAGATGCCGAGCTTTGGCTTCCAGGTAAACTTGAGAGTGCCGACCCGGTTACCTTAGGTAGAAAAGGGGAAAACTCACCCAACTCAGACAACGGCAGCTGCGTCCCATCGGGCTTCAACCCAGGCACAGCCTCAAACGCATGCGCATCTCCCGCGACAGCCGCAAACCTCCGATTCCACAACCACCGGGCCGTTTCCTCACTCCCATGCACCCCCGGTATAACCAGGCCACCCCCAAACTTGGCAAACTTAGCCATATCCTCCGGCTTCGGGTCCTCCAGCACCTCCGTATACCCAGTCCGCACAATCAAAATATCCCCCGGCTTAAACTCGACGCCCTGAAACGCAGCCACCTTCTCGATATCCTCAACCGTGATCCGATGTCCATCCAGCGGGTGGTACGGTGTTCCAGTTGTCTGTTCCTGGTACGCTTTCCAATCAATCAGCACGCCACGGCCGGCCAGCGCGCCGCGCGAGTGCCAGTGCTCGATGGTCGGCAGTGGGTTTTCGGCGGTTGACTGTACTGAGAGACCTTCGACGGTCGGCTGGAACCCGTTGTAGGCTAGCCCGTCGGTTGTGACGTGGAGGAGACTGTCCCACTGGCTGCTGAACTGAGTGTTGATGGCCAGCTCGTCGTCCCAGCCCTCGTAGTCAATGCCTATGTCACGTAGGCGATGGGGAGTATGTACGGGAGGTTTGCGGTTGGGGAAGGGGATCTTGATGCCGTTGAGGGGCCAGCTGGACTTGAGTGAGCAAGTGCACTTCGGCTTGAATGTTTTTTTATGCATTTGTTGAACGGAACACTTACTTGAGTGAGATGGAAATACCATCCTTCACTTCCTTGCTTGCAGCCGCCACGATTTCAGGAGTAAGAAAGTTCAGCGTGCCAAAAACATCCTTCTTCCCATCTTTGTCAAACACGCCCCAAGCACATCCTTGGGGTTGTCCCTCAACCTTGGGGAGGTCGTCAAAATCCGGAAATGAATTGGTAGCCATTGGAAAAGGGGCCGTGGCGAGAAAGTCATTAGTTTGTTCTTGGTAATCTGAAGGATGCAGAATTAAACCGCTGCGAACATATGATAGATCCCGGGATCAACCCACCCCCATTCGGCGTGCGTTTTTTGCGAGTTTTGTATGAACGGAGTGTTCCCCTCGGGCGTACATGTCGGTGCCGTGAGCTAGTACTAGCCTCCACTCCCGTGTGTTCGCTAACTACCTTACGCTAAATCAACAACCCTGACCCTTGCTCGCTTTCGGTTCGGAGCGAACATTCGGACTCCATGGGCTGACGATAACTAACCCCATTCGCCTATCGCCGACCCCGCTCACCAATGATGATTTGATTTCCATCTGGACTTTTGGGCTCCCGCATGCTTCTGCCTCGCAATGGCGATTGGTTAGCTCAGCTTGAAACGGAATTGATGGAGGGCCAATGTTCAGAATATCCAATACCAGTGTTGCGTTCATCGGCAGCCAAGAGCTCGACGAAACCCCCTCGGATTGTGAGTTGTCGGTGAGCGCGCTGCGCGCGGGGCGGGGTATGACTTTAGGTCAAAGTCCTTGTTGAGATTCTCACAAGTCGTCCGATCTAAAAGGTGATGACAAGTTCCCCGCTGGCCCTTGTCCCTGGGTCTTGATTTTCCCCGCACATTCTCCCGCTAGCACTCTAACTCTCATCGTACTAACCCCCGCGTAAGTGGGCATTAGCAGGGTTGTCACTGACCTTTAAAGGGCCGCAGTCCTCAACCGTGCCCAGCCCCTCTGTTACATTTGCCCGCGTTACTTCCCCTCACCATCATGCAAAGACGGCCTAGGCCCTCACAGAAAGAGGATTGTCTCAAACGGGTGCATTGGCGAGAGCTTGATGGTGAGTTTGGGCGAAGTGCCGACTCCGCTGTTCCCGAGCCTGTGGAGAGAAACGAATACGACGATCTCGTCCCGCTCGTTTTCGTTTTTCGACCCGAACTCACAACCGACACAAAGCGGCCAATACAAAATCCATGTTCACTTGGGGGTTAGGGATGACGTGAAATGCGTCCGTCCACGACAACATGTGGAGTAATTATCTTCAGGGGCGGCAAGCGATACTCGTAAACTAGCCCCTCGTCACTCGTGATTCGTCGAACGTTTTACTGCTAGTAGTTCACATCTCTCTTAAAACACTGGTCAGCGCCCAACTTGACCTGCCCAACGGAACCGTCAGCAACCTTTCCCACACGCTACCTCTACCACAACTCTCATGATGGCTGCTTCAACGGAAGGTGCCAGCCAGGCCCCGAGTGCTGAAGACCTCAAGCTGTATGAACTCTCGCAAAAGTACACCGCCGAAGCTGCCAAACGACTCCGACCCGACGGTCTTTCTCAATTCGTCCGACTCAAGGATGCCGGTAGCGAACGGCTTCGCACTCTTGCCGAGGACCCCTGGGCCGACCATGCCGCTCTAAACGCCAAACCCCTGGTTCAAGATGGCTCGAAACACAAATTTGTAATCCTTGGCGCCGGCTTCGGCGGACTGCTCTATGCCGTTCGTCTGATCGAAGCCGGTCTCGCGAGTCAGCCAAGTGATATTCTCTTGGTTGACGCTGCCGGTGGGTTTGGCGGAACTTGGTGGTGGAATCGGTACCCCGGCCTGCACTGCGACATCGAGAGCTACTCGTACATGCCGCTGCTTGAGAAGACTGGATATGTGCCCAAGAAGAAGTATTCCACAGGCCCCGAGCTACGAGACTACGCCAACCTCATCGCCGACAAGTGGTCTCTGCACGACAAAGCGCTCTTCCGTTCGAGTATCAAAGCCGCACGGTGGGATGATGCTACGCAGCTGTGGACGGTTGATGCCACCGAGAATCGCGGCCCCGGAGAGGAGGCGCGCGAACTGAAACTCCACGGCCAGTACCTCCTCGTCGCATCCGGGATTCTCACCAACCCGCATGTTCCCAAGGTCACCGGCCTCGAGGATTTCGCTGGGCCTCTCTTTCACACTGCGCGCTGGGACTATAAGGTGACCGGTGGAAGCCCGGTTGATGAGAAACTCACTGGTCTCGAGGGGAAACGCGTTGGTATTATCGGAACAGGCGCAACGGCAATCCAGGCGGTGCCGAAAATCGCCAAGTACGCCAAAGAGCTCTACGTGTTCCAGCGGACACCGTCTTCGGTTAACTGGCGTGGGCAGCGCCCAACCGATCCAGAGGAGTGGTAAGCTTGTTCTCAACGGCCCGGCTAATTCGGTGTTGAATTCGTCATCCTGACTTACCCTCTCCTTGCTAGGAAAACAAAAATCGCCACCAAACAGGGTTGGCAGCGCGACAGGATGCTCAACCTGGATTCGTTCCTAACGGACGCTCCGGAAGAGGAGAATCTGGTGGCGGACGGCTGGACCGAGATGCCTGCGTTCTCCGCCGTGATCGGTTCACCAAGGTACGGTATTATCGAGCCAACGCCAGAGAAAATCGCCCAGCACGTCGGGCGGATTTACAAGCTCGACCTGCCTCACACCGAGTCTGTGAGGGCGCGCACGGAACGCATCGTCCAAAACCCAGAGACAGCCGCCAAACTCAAAGCTTGGTACCCAACATGGTAAGTTTCCGTCGTGCGAACCAAGAAATGGGTTGAAACGAGTTGGCTGATATGAGCGATCCCGGTTTAGGTGCAAGCGGCCATGTTTCAGTGACGAGTATTTGGAGGCTTTCAACCAGTCGAATGTACATCTTGTCGATACCGATGGCAAGGGCATCGACTCGGCGACCAGTGGTGGGCTGGTGTTCGCTGGGAAAGAATACCCCCTCGACATTCTGATTCTGAGCACCGGTTATGTGACCCCCAGCATTGGAGGTGGCAGCCCCGCTGTCCGAACAGGCATCGACATCTTTGGGCGCAACGGCAGGTCGATGGATGAAAAGTGGCAAAACCACGGCGCATCCACCCTCCACGGCGTCTCCTCAAACGGATTCCCTAACCTCTTCTTCGCGCCTTTGTCTCAGTCTGCCCAGGCGTCCAACAACGCCTTCACCCTTGACGTTGGTACTGAGCACATCGTGCACGTCATCGAAAAGGCGGAGGCCCGGACTGGGGGTAATGCAATTGTCGAGGTGACAAGCGAGGCGGAGGAAGCGTGGGCTCTCGAAATCATGCGCCGGGCCGGATGGTTTGCGACAGTCATGGGCTGCACACCGGGCTACGTCACCTCAGAGGGCGAAGCTCTCAAAGTGTCCCAGGACCCCGTGGAGATGGCGAGGAAGGCCCGGTCGAGTAACTGGTCCGAGGGTATGGCGTCGTTTTTGAAGCTACTGGAAGAGTATCGTGCCGACGGATCGATCAAGGGATTTGAGGTTGTTTCCAGGGCCGCGTAAGATTTGGGAGCGCTAGAGTTTCTAGATTAGCCGGTGACTTTCAAAGTTAATATCACGAATCTCCTGTGCGCACAGACAGAGCCAACGGTGTGACTGAGAGTGGCGCTCCTTCCATCAACGTTCAAGGTGCCTTGCCTCTGTACTGCAGGTACCTAATAAGAGAGTGTTGGGGCCCCTATCGCAACACGCCAGCAACTGTCAAATGGCCTAGTAGTCAGGAGATGGGGTGTTGCGCACCTACTACCCTGGGAGATAGCTCCTGGCGCCTCGAAAGAGGTCGCTGGTTCGAACCGCCCCAGTGGTACCACCATCAACTTGACGCAGGGGCGTGGTGGCATTTTTTTGCTTTTATGGGTAATTACCTGAGTTTCCCCTACGGCAAGCAGGCAAACGGGCCACAACGAAAACACCGAAGAAATCAAGCATGTTTCCAAATCTTGGCTTACGCACGACCGCTCGTTTACACATAGTCCAACCTCTTAGAGTCCCAGCCAGGCCGCAAATAACTCCCATCAAACCGCACATCCAACGACGACTCCACAGCATACCTCGTGACAACTTCCACATCTACACTTGCTCCATCCTCCTGCAAAGCCCACACCGCCAGCGCCACGATATTGTCCCCAGCATAATCCAACACACCAATAGGCACGGGAAAGGTATCCTCCGATGCAATGGAAGGATAATACCGCCCGTATTGCCACCCGTTCACAAACAACAGCACTCGATATCCCAGTTTCCCCTCAGCAGCCGGCTTAAACCGGAACGCTAATGACACATCCAATTCCTTGGGCACATCCAACGGCAGGGCTCCACGGTAGAACCGTACGCCAGGAGCGCCAAACCCAGCGCTGGGCCCGTCTCCTTCCTCCCATTTCCCATCATCAAACCCGGGAAGATGCCAGCCCAATCTCTCCCCTGTCAGCCCACCCTCATTGTAATGTGTCCGAACGGCATCAAGCCCAGCCTTCTTCCCACCTCCAGCTCCAGCCGTGCCCGCAACCCGCCACTCCGTAAACGCAAACTCACCATCTTCGCCTTCACTGAGTAGTGTAGCATTCAAGATACCCCTCGGCGTGACCGCACCATCCCCTTGGTCATGGCCCGTATCGTCGTGAATTACCAACAACACATTCTCCCCGTCCTGAAGAACACCATCGCCAAACTCCAACGTCAGATTCCCCACCGCTGCATCCGCACTACCTAACCAAGACCCCAAAAACCCCCCATTAAGATACGCTGACCAGCCATGCGCCGTACCGCCCTGGACAGCGAGGTACACGCCCGTCGGCGCGGCACCGGAGTCATTAGTAGCTACCAAAAACCGGCCGCGCCACAGCCGGATACCAGTGTGAAACCCGTACTGGTCTGCGAAAAGATACGGCTTGGTGGCATCTTTGACGCTGGCGTCCGGGTTGGTGGTGGTACTGTCGTTGGCTAGGACCCAGGCCGGGCCAGAGTCGGAGTAGGAAGGGGAGATTTCGGGGAGAGAGTCTTGGGATTTCCAGTTGGTGATTTTTGGGGGTTGGAAGGTAGGCGAGGAGGTTGAGGAGTCGGGGTTGATGGTGGCTAAGAGGGAAGAGTACTTGGATTGGGTTGTGGGCAAGTCGACGCCGTTCCAGCGGATGGTGGTGATGGAGGAGGATGTGAAGACTTCGAGGGCTGTCGGGGTTGTGGCATTGTTGTCGCCGAACAAGGAGATCGTGCTATCTTCTGAAGTAAGAGTGGCAGATCGCACGAGACGGGGCCCGATGACGAGAGCTAAAAGGGATTTAGTAAGGCGATTCTCTCCTTCTTCATAACCCCTGGAACAACGACACTTACCAGTCTGGTTGACGGGAACCTTGGGGTCGTTGGTCAGCGCAGGAGACCACACCTTGTAAGCCGTCGCCCGATCCACAAGCACCACTCTCACACCATTATCAAATTCCACCACCGTCAAGCCCTCCTTTTGGATATAACCCACAATCATCCCCTCCTCATCTGAGACCAGGGTGACAGCCTGCCCAGAGACAATGGTCCCGTTCGTTGCTCCGCGCAAATGGAACTCCCCGGACCGACCAACTGGAGCCCACAGCACCAAGACCGGCTTCTCGTCAATGACCGAGTACGTCAGAACTTCCACGGACGAATAGGACAACGTGTGCTCCCCAAAGTGGAAGTCAGCCACCATAATCTTAGCTTCGTTCCCGCTCAGCACAAAGGCGCTCGAAATCTTGGGCACGAAAAATTGCCCGAGGCTGCAGTTGACTTGCCATGCATACCACTCCTCCGCATCTGAGGCCGTGTCGTCGTGGCGAATAACATAGAATCCAGCCCCCGTCTCTGGGTTTCGAAGTTCGGCGGTGTGTAGGTTCGTGTTATTCGTATAATCCGTTCCATTCCCGATTCTCTCCGTGTACGCCAGTTCGTCCGCAACCCTCGTAAACAACCCCAAATTCTTCAACTCGTAGTACTTATCACCAACACTCCGATCTTCCGAGATCGCCGCGCTGTAGTCATAGCTGCTCCCGAGGAACGGAGCGGCCAACCACCCCCAGTTCGTCCCACCGTAAATCATGTACAAATTGAGCATCGTGACATGCTGGGAGATGGTGTCGCGGTAGTAGAAATTGACAAAGTCTACCCCAGTGCGCTCTCGGCAGCCACCGGACGGGCCGTTCCACGGGTTCAGCGCGCCGCCCTGGAACTCGGGCATGAAAGATGGTTGGTTGGGAGACACAAGCTGGAAATGGTCGTAGTAGTCGAGCACGCCGAAGGGGGTTGGCGTGCTGCCACATTCTTCCTGGACACAAGACCAACATTGCGGCTGTGTAGGAAAAATTCAAGGTGAGGTTAGCAGTGAATACTGAAAAGGGGTAAATCCAGGAGACTCACGTAACTATCGAGGCCGTAGATATCAACGTTCCCCCCCGCACCAACCGTGTCATAATCCTTCGACCACGACCGGCCATTCATATTCGGCATGTTATGCACCAAGGGGACCACAATCCCATTATCCCGCGCATTCTTCTCCAGCGCCTCCATGTACCCAATCCCTTCTTCATTCGGCGTCTTCTCCGCCGCGTTCGTCCACTGCCCAGCATACTCATTCTCAATCTGATACATCACCACCGTCCCCTCCTCCGTAACCTGAAACGGCTCCGTCAACTGCGCAAACCCATCCTGATACGGCGTCCACGCCTTCGCAAACTCCTCATCATCCACCCGCAACTCCCCATGCGCTCCCGTCGTCGCCCACAACGCCATCCCGCCCGCACTCAACTCCGCATTGATATACGGCCCCGGCCGAACAAGCACATACAACCCCACATCCTTCGCCATCTCCAGAAACCGCGTCAGGTTGTGCGAGCCCGAGGTAAAATCGACAGTATCCGGGGTCGGGGCATGGAAGCCCCAGTGCGTGTAGATCGAGACCATGCGCAAGCCCGTGGCCTTGATCTTCTGCAACACGTCCTCCCAGAGTTCTGGGATCGGCAGGCGGAAGGGGTGCATCTCGCCGCCGAAGAGGAACATGCGCTCGCCATGGATCAGGATGCTGTGGTGGTCCCATTGGACTGTGTCTTGGAGGCCGTTGTCGAGGATCGGCCAGGCGTCGGAAGGCTCATCGGCGGCGACGGCTGCGGACGTCAGTCTGGGGTTGCTGACCAGCATCAGGAGGAGGAAGGAGATGAGCTTCGCGGAGAGGCCGCGAATAGGTGGGAAGACACCCATGGCGGATGGCAATCAGGTGAGAAGGTCGAGCCCGACGGCTTAAAGGTGTAGAGTCAAAAGAGAGCAACACCCCAACCGACTGAACTCCCAAGTCGGTGGTATGAATTTTGCAGACGAACGGGGTCGGACAGGTATTTATTCTTATTCATTCATCTTCCTCCCAGCCCGAGATTTGCGTCATCCCCAGGAACCGCACAAAGCTCAATCACCCATTGGCGCGGAATTGGAAATTCCCCGACGGAAACGATGGTTCTGTCAGTAATATATTCTCGTCCCTGTCGAAGGGCCAACCATCGGCAAAGAGCCCGAGCAGCGGGTAATCAGTACCAGAGACCGGGCCAATCGAGCCAATAACGGCGGTGACGGGAAGACGGGACGAGGTTTGTCAAAGCAAAGGGGGCAAGTAACACTGCTGATCATCAACCTTCTCCCGGGAAAACCTCAAGGTTGCATCGGGAACCGCTCGTCCGTCGCCCGAGTCTGGGAATCAATTCGCCGAAGTTGCAAACACGAATAATCAGTTACCATGGTGGGATCTCAAAAGATAGAATGTCACCTTCGATAACATCAAGCAGGGGCGATTCTGCAAAGCTCTGGCTTGAACGGTGTACTACCAGGTCCTTGCTACACAGCAAGGCGTCTACATAGAAACCTCGAAAGAAAAAGTTCATTAGCAGGTTCCCTGCTCCGCCCACCTGAGTTCTCGGCCGCTCAATCCAGAGAGCCAAACCCATCGCAGCCACTCCTGGGGAAACCCATCATATCATAAAGCATACCCGTAATTGACCCCCTACCGTAGCCGATGAATGCAACAAGATAGGTCCGAGATCAGGGGCCAGCAAGGCCTAAATAAAAAGAGGACATGGAAAACAGGAAAAAGGGAGGTAGTTAGTGTCGACGTCATGCAACAAACCACCAAGAGGGTAAAACTAGGAGCAAAAGAACGAGGCGTTCAACTCCACAAGAAAGTGTAAGTTTGACAGGGTTTACCGTTAACACGGGGATTCCAGGTTTCTTCCACGCGCCCCTCATTCTGTCATACCCACAAGGTTAAACCGATCAACATCACAGGGCCGTAGTAGACATGAACAAGAACAGAAGGAAAGTGAGAGAAAGAGAAAGGCTCGGATTTGCCGCAACTAGCGGTTCATCTCGAAACACTTCCCTGAAAGACCCTTTAGACACAAATGACATTTCTTATGAACACGGTCTCCCAAAAGTAAAAGATAAAAGCGGAAGGACAAAAATAGCAATGCATGTACCCGCTTCCCCGTAGAATTCGGGTGTCCCGACACCCAGGGTATCCATACTCCTCCTTTCCATTTCGCTCCCAGATGATGGTGAAAATCCCCGCGCTGACCGTCCTTAAAGAGTACTCTCCCGAAGCCCCCACACCTAATTGCCTAGGAAAACTAAGGTTGATTGGTTGTGTTGGGGGGAGTCGGATCAACGTCCCCGCCAACCTCGCTTGACATATCCATGAATGCCTGTATGGGGGGAACCTCGGTTGGCGGAGTTGTAGCAGCGGCAGGTTCCTGCGTATTCACGCTCACTCCCGGCTGGGCAGCTTCTTCTGGAATATCCTCGGGGAAGGAATGATGGGGAGTGGCGCTAGTAGCAAAGGCATGGTTCTGTGGATCATGCTGCGGCACCGGTGCAGGGCTAGGAGTGGCATTCCCGACAACAAAAGGGGGGTCGATAGCGCCAGGCGGGGGATCTTGGGGGGCGGCTGGTATGGGAGGCGGTACGGGGATAGTGCCTGCCGCGGCATGGTGCAGACCAAGGCCGAAGGTGTCGATAACCATCTCAGACCCATCCTCTGGGACATCGTCTTCATCTATCGCATCGGGATCGGCGTCTTCGCCGGACGCGTCAACGAGCTGAGGGAAGGTTTGGCCGGGCGGGGGGAAAATCGGAGGATCTACAGGAATGGTGGCTCGCATCGAGCGTCGAGACTCCTCTGCGGCAAGCACTCGGTTAAAGTGTTTGCGCAGGCCGACAACACCTTGGCCGGAGAATACGCAGAACACAGACCGTTGGTGCTCAGTGAATTCTATGGGATCGTGTGAGCTAGAAAGCCATACGCAGGGGCGATATGCAAAGCCCTTACCTGAGGGAGCAGGTCGAGAATAATGCTCCAAATCTTCCCTTAAGAATGCCTGCACGCCAGTCAAACTGAGATGGGTCAGGCGCGGACAGGAGTTGAGAAGCCTGATGATGCTCTGTAGATGACTTAGTTCAAAGACCTCGCGAGCGAGATATGGGGAAGACGTACCGCTTGCGTGAGGTTGATACAGTAGCTCAAGTGGACCCGCTCCAGACAGCTCTGGCTGCTACTGTAATCGCCCGGTATGAAATTGCCATGCGCATCCCGTCGCAACCTAGGCCGGCGGTTTGCGTTGGCTAGGGCAATAACACTGGCATCAGTGATGTTGGCGCATTTGACGAGACCGATCCTCTTAAGCTTGGGAAGAGTGGCTAGCCGTGTCACAGAATCGTCGGTCAACTGAGAGCAACAACCCAGGTCAATGTAGCGTATCCTGTTGCACATAGATACGAGCCGCTTCACCCCATCGTCTGTGATATTTTGGCAGTGGCCCAAATGGAGAAAGTGAAGGTTTTTGCCAAGTTTCGAGATGGCGTACGCCGCCGCATCTGTGAGGTTACGACATTTCTGCAACACGAGGTTCCTGAGCCTGGGTGCTACGTCGATGATTCTTTCGAGGCCATGATCGGTGATGCCGGCGGAAAACGTAAGATCTAGGATTCGAAGGTGCTCGTATTGCCTGTTGGAAGGCAGCGAGAGGAAAGCCGAATCGTCTATTAACTCGCAGTTGGATAGCCGAAGCTCCCGGAGGGCGTTTCCCTTGGTAAATAGTGCCGTGACGGGCTCATTGCCAATTTCCCGACATTGTTGAAGATCTATTTCGAGAATGTTCGGGCAGTTTTCGGCAAAGGCAAGCACGGCGCTGTCTTGAAGTTGTATGCAGTCGTTGAGTTTCAGCTTGGTTAGGCCGTATGTCAGCAAACACATTCATGAAACACAGGAAGGGGGCGCCAAAGCTTACTCGTTTGAGATGACGACAGCGATGAGCAAGGCGAACAAGGCTTTCGTTGGAAATCTTTTGGCAGCCAGATATGTTCAACCCTTGTAACCGTGGGCAGTTTTCGGAGATCGCATCTATCGAGGCCTCGGTGATGTGGTCGTGGAGAACACGCCCCGCAACCGGCGGAGGAAGAGAGACGTCGAGGGAATATAAGTGGCTATTGTTAGAAACCAGGGCAATGAGCCCGGAATCTGTAAGATTGTTGCAGCCCGTCAAAGTCAACCGCTCGACCCGAGTGCACCCGGCCAAGGGTACAACACTGCCATCGTTGATCTCGCCCGAGAGAGAGGCCAGGTTCAGACGCCTCACGAAGTCGCGGTAGCAAAAATATGGATTCTCAAGGTTCAGCGTCCGGCAAACGGATTCGTACTTTTCCCAAGATGAGCACGAGGGCCGGTGCCATAAGAAGTCGACCGCATTCCGAGACCACCGCTTGCATGTCAACATAACATGAAGAAGGTCTGAGGCGTTGCCCAACCGGCCGAAAACGGCGATTAGGATCTCGTTCGGGAGGCGCTGGACGGCCGGGAGGCATTCGTCGTCTGTGACTTGCATATCCTGGATGTTCGGCACACCGAGGGAAGACTGGGAGTCGTTGGCGCCCAGAAAAAAGTCGGATTCGTTATCGGGGGGCGCGGGCGAGCTCGTTGATGAAGTTGTGCGAGAGTCCTCATGGAGCTGTCGAGTCGTTTCCATCTCGTTGTTTTCACCATTTTCGAGTGTCGGCACCACATCCCGACCGTCGGCGGCGATAGCGTCGAGCGACGCGCCCTGCCTCATGGTGATTTATCAAAACAATTCCGCGGCGCAATAAGCGGAGATTGTTGTCGATGTTGGGTCGGAAACACAGAGGGGATAACGGTTCGTGGCGGTCGACGTGGGATGTGGAAAGCAGGGGGGGGTCTTGCTGTTGGCGTCAATTATGAGGAAGAGGCAGGGGCCCCAGGCAAGTGGAGGTGCGAGACCCTGGCATCAAAATAGCCTTGGCGCAGGCGGTCGGTACGGAAGGCACAGCGTCACAGAACTGATGCAGGACCGAAAACACAAGGTACAAGTGTTTGCTGAGAACGCTGGGCGGGAGCTGGGCGGGAGTTTGGCCTCACAGTCACAGGCTCCGGAGAAGGCTGCTTGTAAATTAGGCGAAACAGAGGGAGGTTTTGAAAATTGGTTTCTGCGGAGACCAGGCACTGGGGCACACGGTTAACATTTATCTCATGAAGCGGGAAAGAGCACCCAGTGCAAGTCCTACGTGCCCGTCTCAGGAGGCTAAACTTGGCAGGCAGCGGCGAAGTGCCCGAACACACTCGCTGACTGGAGGCGGGGCCACAAGGCGGCGGGACAGGGCGAATAGAATGGGACGCTGAGCAATCCAAGAAAGGTCACACTTGAAGGTCACTGGACAACGGAAGCACTCGCTTTGATCTCGCTTGGTCCAGTCGAAATTGGGCATTATTTTTGAAATGTCGCAGGTGACTCGCTCAAGTGTTGTTCCTGTTTGCTGGTCAAGCGTATTGTCACAACATCCAAGATGGCCAAAGAGTCGCAATGACCCTCTCCCCAGACCTGCGACACCGAAAGCGGGAGCCCGACACTGGACTCCAGGGATGCAACAGGAGTTTTGGTTTCGCTGCGTGGCAACGTCCGGGCATCAAGGGCCGCTTGGGCCGCTCCCCGCCTGTTGACCTCAAGAGTCATCAATTTTCTGGGCAAACTACTGGCGCCCATACATGTTGTGGGACGTTAATAGCTATCGGCGTTGCCTTCTTCAACCCATCAAGCATAACTATGAGCGTTAGGTGCCTTTGTGCTTGTCACCAAGGTCGGTAGTCGGAGGCCCCTACGTCCGACGCATTCGCCCAAGTCGCAGTTTCTGCCCATTTCGTCAGAAGTCCCCGCAGCACAACACGTAGCACCAGAGTGTTTCGCGGACCGCGCGTCCTTAAAATGCCATACTAGAAGTCGGGTCGGAATGAGCAAGTAGAACTTCCACTTTGCATCGTGAACTGCGGCTGAAAAACTGATGAGCAAAGCCTCGGCGTCCGGCCCGACATGAAGTCCCCTCGACCTCAGCAGCTCGTTGGCGGAAGCCAGCTTGGTGACTCCCCGCTACGGCCGTTGTACAAAACTGAAGCGGCTATTTCCAACAAATTACCTCTCCTGTTGATGGCTACCTAGTGGCCAGCCTCCTGTGTCGCGCAAACGTGTGCTCGCGGTGCCAACCTCAAGAAATTTGCACAATGCTTTCGCCCTGAACCTTTTCATCTTTGTCTCAGACTAGACATCGACTCGGGCCAGCCGACATGTTGGAAATGGAAAATACCACCCTTCCCCTCAAAAAGAATGATCTAACAACGTATAAATTTACCTCAGGTTTTACTGATGTTCCTACCATTTTGCTATTTTCCACTATTCACTGATTAGACGTTCGCCCATCCGGTAATGAGAAAAATTGACTCTCTTTCTGTTAGAATTGTCGGGTGGTTGATTGGCCAATCGGGTGTTACTGGTGAGGGGTGATGTCAATCTCTTTTGGCAGTTTCCTAAACCCGCCTCCGACCGAGCAAAAACAAGACAGCAGGCTGTGGCCAAATCCGGCCAACCTGGGACTTTCCGTACAATCTGGCGGGCCATCGCAGCCGTAACCACAGAACTCAGGTCATGCAGAACATCGAGAACCCAATATAAAGGAGGATTGGTTGGCCCACATACAAGCAACATGAACGCCACAATGTTGCGACAAACAACGTTGCGACGCGCAACGTGCTCGCCCACAACCGCAGCGCGGCTGCGAACCCAAGCGCCACACCGGACTATATTCTCTCGGCGAGATGAGCGAATGAGGAGGTCCTCGAGCCGGGCGGTCGAGAACATCGACATTCGGCGCATGACACAGCAGGCTCAGGACTGGCACCGCAACCGCACCATCTTCCTCTGGTCTGGGGCGATCGCCGGCGTTATCTCTGCCATTTATACGGCCTGGAAGATCAAGGTTGTCTTGGACAACCCGGTCAAGGCGGATTCCAACCTCCCCTCCTCCGATCCGCTCGCATCGCCAAACGCCGCCGACCGAAAGGTTGTCATCCACGACCAGGACGGCCGCGAAATCGTCCCGACCGGCAACAGTACCGTGCCAACCTTCCCCCACACCCTCGATCTCCCCGCCTACACAGCTCCAATCACTCCCACCGAGGTTCCCACCAGCCCTGTCGATCCTATCACCACTCAACAAACCATCACTGCGCCGAACGGTAGCACAACGGAGTACACGCTTGTTGGTCTCGGGCTACGCACTGTGACCTTCCTCGGCCTACAAGTCTACGTAGTGGGGTACTACATTGCAACCGCCGACATTGCGGCCCTGCAGAATGCTCTGACTAAAAAGATCAATCCGATTGCGACGACACTAGTGCCTGCGGAGCGTGAGGAGCTACGAGCCGCCCTGCTGGACCCGACCGAGGGCGAGCGCGCCTGGGAAGAACTGCTGGCCGCTGGCATACCCGCGCGCTCTGCCTTCCGCGTCGTACCTGTGCGCGATACCGACTTCCACCACTTGCGAGACGGGTTTGTGCGTGCGATCCAGGCGCGCGCGCCGCCAACTCCCCCGGGGGCAGATAATGAGGCGTTTGGCCAGGCAATGCGCCAATTCCGTGGGATTTTTAGCCGTGGGAGCGTGCCAAAGCGCAGAGAGCTACTACTGGTCCGGGACGAGACGGGACGTTTAAGCATCACGTATGATGCCGGGAATAAGAAAACGGAGGCGGCGCAGCCTGGCGGGCGACAGCTAATCGGGGTGGTGGAGGACGAGAGGGTATCGAGGGCATTGTGGCTTAACTACCTGGCTGGGAAAAAAGTGGCCAGCGAGCCGGCGCGGCAAAATATCGTGGAGGGGATTATGGGGTATGTGGAAAGGCCGGTCGGCACCGTGGCGGCGCAGGTCGTGCCGGTCGTGAACTCTAGGTTGTAAGCAGGTTACGGGATATTGTATAACGCTGTGCAACTATGCTAGATATTTGTATAAATACAAGACAAAGCCTCCATGTTGCAGCCCGTACAATACTACAACACTCAGGGCAGTGGCGTTAACCGCTACCTCACCCACACGTGAAGCCTTGGTCGTTGGAGACGGTAATGCGATGTACACTATAATTATACTACCAAGTACGCTGCAGAGCCGCTAAACAGGGTCAACATCTATTCCTCTATTCCTTGAGTTTGTCCCTTCTCAACGACATAGTCCCCTTTCTCCCAGCCACCACTGTCTCTTAGAGGGCATTGGCAGCCTTCAAGAGCTCCTGCAAAGACTTCCCATCCTTCCCGTTCTTGTCGACCTTATCGAGGTCTGAGCTTCCACCAATGTGGGCGCCGCCGATGAAGATGTTGGGGACGGTTCGCTGGTTGTAAAGCTCGTACAGCGCATCTTGGATCTGACTGCCATCGTCGACTTGGTCAAGCTCGATCGCTTTGTATTCGACATCGAGGCTGCTGAAGAGGCCCTTAGCTTTGTTACAGTAAGGGCAATACGACTTGCTGAAGACCACTATTCACCGGGGTTTTGGTTAGCGGGGCAGTCGACAAGGCAGCGTGGAACGGAGAATTTACATACTGACGGCATTGTCATCGATCAACTGCTGTGCTTTCACCTTGGCGGCGTCCATTGTGGCTGTTGGAGTAGAGCCAAATAGTCTGCGGAAAATGAAGGACATGGAAGTCTGGGCAGTGGTGGTGTGCGAGAAAAGGTGTTGAAGATGAGGGGCAATTTGGACCCTTCTTTAAAATGGTCCGTCGAAACGCTGTGGCAATGCTGGATTTGTCAACTGGGGACTGGACCCAGGGAACTTGGCAAATGACGTGACTAAGTTGAAAGTCGAGGGAACACAACCGAACACAATAAGTACATCTACACGTACACTACACTACATGTAATCTCGTAATGTATGTACATACTATTTACACTACAAGCCCCAAATTCGACTCTCCCGCACACCCAAGAGCATCGTTCATCCTCAGTTTCGCATTTTGTCGCGCCCCTGGCTTTTCGATCCACTCGTCCAGGGGCGATGACGCACATGGTCTGTGCTGACTAGACCCTGCGATCCCAGTGTCGAACGCGCACGACGGATCTGGGGGATAGGACGAGTGGCAAACATCAGACAACACCGTCAACCAAGCAAGCCAACTTGCCAAGGCATCAACAACGGGATCAATAGTAAGGCGGACCGTTGCAGGAAGTGAGAAACGAAGTTATTCCCAAGAAATAGGTTTGCGGCCTTGTGCCAACTAAGATGATCTCATTGTCTTGAATCCTGATCGGCGATTTGCTTGGGGTCGGCCTTTAGAGCCCCAATGAGCAGAGGGCACTCATGGAGGCTCGAGTCCACCCTTTCATGGCTTCTCTCACGCGGACACATTGTCTCAACGAAGCGGCAATGATGCTTCCGAGCGGGCTAGTCTGCATCAACACGAGTATCTCTCGTCTAGTTGTATGCTGGAGTAGACTCGATATGATTGACAAATCCTGTCGTCCACTCGGGGTCCAACCCAAGGGAGCCCAGAAGAAGCAACCCTCAAGCCAGTTATGACAGGACTTGCCAAGCAATGGCTGACAATCCCCTGCCCTGGGGAATCCTCTTTTTTTGGGCATTCCGCGAGATCCGCCCGTCGCCCTTGGTGCAGGTGGTCTGCCGTCGCTGCAGCATGCTCACATCGACTCGAATTTGCGGACAGGTGCAGCCGCTGGGCAGTTGCAGTTGGTCAGTCTCAGGGTAGTGAACAAATGGCATCCAAATATGAGATGTGGGGGTTCTGGATCCACAATCAAGGCGGGGTTTCACTCAGGCCATGGGGTCCTGACACCCTGGGTTCGCTGGGATATTGAAATTTTGTCACCCTTGTTCGCGCTTCCAGGTTCTCCGTTCTGTGCCCGCGAGGGAAAACAAGACCGCCACTCAATCTTATCAACCGGCTCCGACCCTCCAGAATCAACGAACGTGACCCGCCATCTCTCGAATCGGAGATCGACGAAACGTCGTTGCCTTGTTTCCAGATCCGGAACTCTGGTGTGAGGACAACACAACACTCTGTGCTTCTGCACTTCCTGCTCCAAGGGCGCCGGGTCTAGCCTCCAACGTGGTCACTGACCGATCCAATCCCCTCCCTCCCATTGATGCAGCAAGCTCCGCGATCCGCTTCCCCTCCGCATCTGCCAGACTAGGCGACGAGCAGGTTGATTGATATAATCCAACCACAAGCCCCCCACCCCTCTCCTATCTCATTCTCCCGGTCAACGGCATCCTGTCGTCCGACCGCACCCGACCCGTCAAGGTGGCTTCAGGTTCAGCAATTTGGGCATCGCCAGGTGATTCCGTCGCAGACCTTGCCAGTAATCTCACCCTAGCCCTGCGAAATCTCCCTGCATCGCTTCAGCCCTACATAGACACCACCGTCGACCGCTTAGCTGGTGCGACCCAGTACCTCCAATCCACCACCGGCCTCTCGCCAACAGTACTCTACACCGCCGCTGGTGGCATTTTGCTCCTAGGCGCCATACCAGCCCTCGCAGCACGCAACGGGCAGAAAAAGCAGCCCAAGTCAGGCATCATGCCGCGCTTTGGATTCTCCCAGTGGGCCATCTCGCCCTTCAGTTCTCAAGACGGTGCCCCCGATGTGACGCCTGACGACTACAGCTACATCACGTCGGCCGATCTGGAAAACCGCGGCTTTGCGCCTCGCCCCTACATCGTCGATCCACCACAGCCCTACATTCACGACCCGTACTCGACTTCTGCCCCGGCCCCCCCTCCGGTCTTCAATCGACGCCACCCGGAGGACGATGTCTTGTTGATCAAGCACCAAAACGTCACATACCCGGAGCACTTTCCGCCCTTTACCATTGGTGACGGAAAGCTGCTCGTCGGAGACATTCGCGAACGTGTCCAGATGATTCTGCACCTCTCGGATCGCCAAGCCAAGAGAATTAAGCTTTACTACAAAGGTCGTCGTCTCAAAAACGACCAGGCGCCCGCGTGTGAATACGGCGTCAAGAACAACAGCGAGATTCTCATGGCACCCGGGGAATCCCGTCGCGAAAGCGAAAGCGATGCGAGCGAGGAAGTCGTGACTGTCAACCAGAACAGGGCCGACCGATACGGCGCACAGCCCAGCTCGCCCAGGTTTGACAGGACAGCCAGATGGGATGACTGGAGCCCCCGGGGCAGCGACTCGCAAGTTGGTCTCGACGTTCCCACCCACAGCACTAGGCAACGCGCAGCATCGAACGTTCGAACTCAATCGCCTGGCTCCTCAGCCTCCGTTGCGAGTGCTCCTTCTGCACCACTGGTTGGCGTACCCGGTGGCCCCCTTGAGAAGCTCAACATCATCGCCACCGATTTCAACAGCAAATTGCTACCTCTCTGCCATGAATTCATCGCTCAGCCCCCCAACGACCCTAAGAAACGGGTGGATGACCATCGCAGGTTGTCCGAAACAGTTATGCAGCAGACTATCCTGAAGCTTGACGCAGTTGACACCTCTTCTGAGGAAGGAGCGCGTGCTAGGCGAAAAGAATTAGTAGTCCGCGTGCAGGACATCCTAAATCGGATGGACATTGCAAAGAACCGCACTTGACGCATTAGAAAGTACTCGAGAACTTGCTGAAAGGGCACATCGAAACGAGGTCCGACTTGATCAAGTGAAGGTCAGCGTCTGCTATGTTAGAGAGCTTCATAGCAAAGGATTTCGCTGACCAAGAGCCCCCCGGCTACCAGTTCGTTCAAGTCTGTTGCACCACTCTTCTGTTTTATTGTCTTCTACCACAAATCAGGCTTCTGCGGGGGGTCCTGATGTGCCCATGTCGGGTTAACCATTGTTTGAGGTCTGTACATATTTGCATCAGCGCAGTAGAAGGGGGCGGAATTCGCACTGGGGCATCTTCCTCAATAGTCTCGGACTCTCCTCCCTTAATCAGATTTTAATGCTTCCTCTCCTGCTACTATTTTTGCTCAAATGAACCTTAAGAACATGTAGAAACGGTTTGGCGGCCCGGCCGGCGCTACCTCTCAAAGTAAACAAATTGAAGGTAAGGAGGCCCACCGAGCCGGTCTGCCGCAACGGGTCTCCGGGGAAAGGGACGTTGCCCCACTTATCCGGGCACGGTAGGTCTAACCCTATACCATGCGGCCTGAGGCCACAATCAGGCCTGGGCTACGAGCCTCCACCTCCTCTGCATTCGGTCTAGCGCATCTTGGACTGGTTGACTGCACACGGCCAGATTTTCGGCACACACAAAAAAGTCGAAGAACGACCATCAACCATCACAAGGGTAAGGAAACAACCAGTTGCTCCTCGATAGGCCGGCGTGTGACTGATCAACCTTTTCTGTCTCTCTCTAGCCCAGGTCACCACGCCAAAATGTCTTCGTTCGAGTCTGTGGTACGTTTGCCCGGTCTTCCCTCAATTGCAGGCTGCAGGCGAGCTGCGCGAATCCCTCTCCGCCGTCCCCCGATATTGCGATTCTCAGGAATAGAAGCGAAAGGCGACCGCGGCGGGATGGCAGAGGGCACACCGCAGGACCCCAAAGCACAAGCGCGTGGATTTTTGGAACGTCAACTCTAACTCTGCCACAGGTCGTGATCGATGGCAAGGGCCACTTGCTGGGCCGTCTGGCCAGCATTGTTGCCAAGCAGCTCCTCAACGGCCAGAAGATCGTGATCGTCCGCTGCGAGGCTCTGAACATCTCCGGCGAGTTCTTCCGCGCGAAGCGTACGTACCACATCTTTACTACTCGACGGCGAATTGGGTTCTCGGTCTCAGCATTAAGAGGGGGCAATTTGTGACAGCGGCATGGAGTCGTGGGCAGGAAGAAGGGAGGACGTCGTTTTACGACCTGGGGGTTATGGTTGGGTGCAGGGCAAAATCAGGAACACGGAGCTGACACGTCGATTGCAGTCAAGTACCACGCCTACCTTCGCAAGATGACCCGGTACAACCCCACCCGCGGTGGTGAGTCAAGCATACCCACGAACGATTGTATCGCCAGCACACAATCCTGACAATTCCCAGGTCCCTTCCACTTCCGCGCCCCGTCGCGCATCTTCTACAAGGCCGTCCGCGGCATGATCCCCCACAAGACCGCCCGTGGTGCCGCTGCCCTTGAGCGCCTTAAGGTTTTCGAGGGTGTCCCTCCCCCGTACGACAAGAAGAAGAAGATGGTGGTCCCTCAGGCCCTCCGTGTCCTGAGACTGCAGCCCGGCCGCAAGTACTGCACCGTCGGCCGTCTCAGCCACGAGGTTGGCTGGAAGTACCAAGACGTGGTCGAGAGGTGCGTTTTATATGGGATATTCACGGTCGTGGTTTTGCGTGTGGAGATTCGGTATGCTGACCCTGCTATAGGCTCGAGGAGAGGCGCAAGGCGAAGGGCGCTGCGTACTACGAGCGCAAGAAGCTGGCCGCAAGGCAGCTGTCCGAGGCGAAGAAGACCGCCAAGGTCGACACGAAGACGACCGAGGCCCTCCAGGCCTTCGGCTACTAGAGATAGTGGCCGACTCGCACACCTCCTTGTCCTTTATGCGATTTCTCTCTAGATCGGCGCGGTGGTTCAGGGCATCAACTTCATTTGCGTGGATGGTGGGCATAGGCAATGGCTATCTGACTCACTGTGCGTCCCAGGCTTGGGACCTCATAAATTCTTGAGATCAACCAATGGAGACTGGGGTTGCATGGGATGACGAAAGCAAAAACAAAATACCCGGCGCTGGCGGAAAGTTGTTTTGTGACGTTGGAGGGAAAGAGACGCTGTTAAGTTGCGACTCTTCGATACGACGATTCAACGCCTCAGCCAGTGCCCCGCTCATGCTGAATAAATGACCATAATCCATGTCTGCGCCAGTTAGCTGTGAATGCAAATGAGACGAGCCTGGGTGGGCTGGTGATGACAGGACCACAAGTGACCCTCTCTTATATACCTTCGGCTAGGGCGAAACACGCCCATTGTGGGCTCTCGACGAATACAACCCAACACAAAACTAACGAAGAACTCGTCCTACAATATTCCTGTTAAACCACCCAAAACCACAAAAAGCTTGATCTCTGAAGATCAGTCGATCCTGGGTACAATGACGTAGGTACTGTAGCTCCTGCGCATACGACACTACCATCGTGGACAGCCAACTAGAACCGGCACAGGCAGGTTTAACGTAACCATAACGCTTCTAGGCTCGCCAGTATTACTTCCATCTTAGAAACCTTGTCCCAAGATCCCTTGATCGGTGATCTAGTCCTCAACTTGGCCGAGATCAAGTAGGGTCTCTTGACGCCGGGCCGGATCGCGAGTGTCCTAGCACACAAGCAATAAACCTACCTTCCTGGATCTCTTTTGCGTTTTCTCTCTCCACACCCATCGCGATAGAGAACGTTGGCACCGGAAAGTATGTGCAATTCATGCTCATGCTGCCATCAGGCTTGTCGAATCCAAGCGACTCATCCACAATTGGACTCGAGCCTCGTTAAGAGGATGCTCAACAGCGACTTGAATACAGCATCAATGCGACGACAAGTTGCACCAACAGTGAAACGGCAACAATTGGACATCCCTCCATCACAAGTGACGCGAATTGACTTACCCACGTGGTATATCGTTTTGCTCAGGATCTGCCATATGAATACATTCCTATGGTAGTTGCGGAAATTACAACAAGGACCAAGCAATTCACAAAGCAGCCCAGTTCTGCTGAACCACTGCCCCGATGAACCCCCCTCCAGTTGCTGCGGCTTGCTGGAAATCTTGCCTAAGTACCACACCGAGGACTCCGACAGCCAGGCGCCTATTTCATGGAGGCTAAATATCATGTTTGGAGCTGCAACGGTTCCGGTGCTAGAATACGCTCGCCTCAGTGAAGAGCTCCCCTGCCTCCATGAGTCTTTAATTATAGATACGGTTGTTGGGTTTAGATCTTGATCTATTCCAGGAAATATGATAGGTTGCCTCAATTTAAACACTGGCTGTCTCTCTAAAAGTCATGATACAATCCAGGTACAGATCATATATGAGACTACAGTCTCAATTATTGAAGTATGGTTGATAACGAGGACGCAATACCATGGTTGTTCATGCCGGACTTCGATTTTTAAATCTATTCGAGAGTGTCTGCTGAAATAACGAGGAAGGGGATGGCTTTTCTCTGCTCTTCATTATAGTTCCTTTCGTGGCCCGGATATTCCTGGACCTCAAAGTGTACTTTTGCTCGTTTTAAGGAGTCCCTGATAAATCAATTCTCCAAAAACAGAAGACTTAGGTTTAACTCGAGGTCATTTCTTATTTTGTCTGCCTGCCAAAATACACCACGGTGCCAAATTGCCTTTGCAGACGGTGGATTGTATATTGTTACATTTCTTTCATTCTTTTATTTCTTGTATTCTTTTTATAACAAACAAAGAGTACCATCTTGATTGATTCTCCACACCTACCCAGGTAAGTGCATATCTACTTCCCCTGCATTGTATTTACTATGACCAGCAGCTTGGCTTTTCTGACCGCGGTCATGAAATGAAAACCACGATGTTTAGCGCAACTTTGGCTTAGACTTCGGGTAGTTATGGAACTCTCGTCTTGTCTAGGCCCATACTTAGTTGTCAATTTCTAAGCTTCCCCACCAATTGCAAGGGAGCTTGGCTCAGTTGGAAGAGCGCAGGTCTCATATGTTTGTGTGATTCGGTGTCAAACCGGAGTAATCCTGAGGTCGTGAGTTCGAGCCTCACAGTTCCCACGCATTTCTTTTGTTATTTCCATCTTTTTGTAGTTCTTTTACTCTCCCTGCGAGGCGTTTGCTTGGCTGTCGTATTGCAGCCATTTCACTAACTTGAAGATCTTTTTGGGAGCAGGAAAGGGGGGGGAGATAAGGGCATCATACTTCCGTAGTATATATGGGGATGACAAGCTCATCGTGAAAGAGGCTTGGGTAAACGTTGCCGTATGCGATGGAGGGCTACAGCTTGGAAGCATACTGGAAGATAAGATAACGAAATGGAACGGAACATGGCTCAAAAGAACGCTATTACCCTAAGCATAGTAGGTAAGCGGCTTGTCTATTTGTCAATCTACTGGTGCTAATTCCTGCCACCAGCGGCGCCTCTTACACCGTGACATTACAAATACAAGCCCTCTGGTTCACCCTCCTGTTTCGTGCGTAGCACACGCTCACGGGCGGCGCGGAAGTCAGCCATTTGGACCCGCATACGGCGCTCCCGGAGGGCCATGAGACCCGCCTCGGAGCAGATCGCCTTGATATCGGCGCCCGACAAATCATCCTTTTGGGCGATGAACTCTTCGAGGTCGACGTCTTCATTGAGCGACATCTTGCTGGTGTGGAGCGTGAAGATCTTGCGCTTTGTGTTTTGGTCGGGGTTCTCGAAGAGGATCTTTCGGTCGATTCGGCCCGGACGAATGAGGGCGGGATCAAGAGTGTCAATCTTGTTGGTCGCCATAATAACCTTGACGTCGCCTCGGTCATCAAAACCATCTAGCTGGTTGAGAAGCTCCAACATAGTTCGTTGTACCTCACGTTCACCACCAGATGTCGAATCGTACCGTTTCGTGCCAATAGCATCGATTTCGTCGATGAAGACAATCGAGGGAGCATTTTCCGCGGCCACCTGAGGTTGTTAGTATCAGGGGAAGGCAAAAACAGCGTGGTTGAATCGGCTTACTTGAAAGAGTTGGCGGACTAGTCGAGGCCCATCACCAAGATACTTTTGGATAAGCTCACTGCCGACAATGCGAAGGAACGTGGCAGAGGTTTGGTTGGCCACTGCTTTAGCCAGAAGCGTCTTTCCAGTGCCGGGGGCCCCGTAGAGAATGACACCCTTGGGCGGTTTGATGCCCATTTCCTCGTATAGTTCGGGGTGAAGTAGTGGCAACTCTACGGATTCCCGTACTTCCTGGATTTGTTGCTCCAAACCACCGATGTCCGCGTACGACTCCGTGGGTGCCTTGTCAAGCTTCATGACGCTGACAAGGGGGTCTGTGTCGTCCGTGAGCACGCCAACAATGCTAACCGTCTTGTGGTGCAAGAGAACACTAGCACCGGGTTCCAACAGGTCCTTGTCAACGAAGCTCATGATACTGACGTAGTACTCGGGGCCAGTTGTGCTGGAGACAATGGCGTGGTCATCGTCGATCATCTCCTCTAGTGTGCCGACTCCCATGGGGCTGCCCCGCATGTCGTCCACCCTGCTGCGTTCGTCGGCCATCCGATCCGAGGACTCCATCTCGGATGTAGGTGCTGCAGTGTCCTTGGCGGCTTTGGCTTTACGAAGGCGTTCCTGGTTCTCAACGTATTCCTCTTCGAGAAGTAGATGGTCGTGGATACGTTGCATGCGTAGCAGTCGGAGCTTGCAGCGGCTTGTGGGATAGACGGGCGGCATTTTGGCCGCGGCACTGGTGCCACCGGCCCTCTTCTTCTTGCGGCCAATGCGTGTGGTTGGCCGCGGCGGCGGTTCATACTTGGGCTTGTCCTTCTATCGACAGCGGCGACAGGTCAGCATCGGCGAGGATATGTTGAGAATGGTAGCGATCGATGTCGCACCATCGCGGATCGTCAGGGAGCCAAACCTTCTTGTCCTTGTCATCACGACCGTCTTTCCCCCCACCCGTACCGCCCCCCATACCCGACTGGTTCTGGCCCTAGGAAGTTGTCAGCATGCAGTTTCTGAGCTTCATGCGACGAGCAGCCGTACCATGATGCGGATGTGCCAGTATAGTCGCGGCAACAATTATTATGGTTGTGTTTAGTAAGAAATCGGCACCCAGTCACTTATGGAACCTTTTAGGCGATTCCCAGGTTCAGCTCGGGAGAGCGGGTAATGTTGATGTCAAAAATCGTCTTCGGGTTGTTGGCGGAGCTGTGATGCGATGCTTAGTGCAAACCAGGCCCTGTAAGGTTGGGAGCTGCCAGGCGGCAAGCCGACGCGCGCCAATGGTGCACGGACCATTGATGGCATCCCTCCAACGCCCTCCGTCCTCAACCAACCAGAAGAGGTTACACTGGCCTCCACCCATTTCCGGCGAGCGGGACGGGAGCCTGCTGTGAGAGCCCACCCCTCCATCCCGAGTTCCATGGCCTCGGCTTCCAAACTCAGGTAGAGCGGGCTTGATTCAAAGGAACTGCCATCTCTACTTTGGACCACTAAACTGGCAGTTGTCCGAGGGTTGTTTACTCAGGTCGCCTCGCTGGGAGATCTGCTGTGCCTCGACGACTCACTGTGCCCTATTTGGTGTATTTGGTGCTCGCCCGATAACGGGCTCTCTGCCCCTCTGACATGGACACCGACAGCTGGAGACGGGAGTTCCAATCGTTGAGCTTCCACCTCCTGCCCCACACCTGATACCGGGCAGCCCACTGTGCAGGCGGTCTTCCAGGTTCTCGAAGGTGGGGTGGACCGCCCGGGCAGCGAGGTGTTGCTTCCGCTTTCTTCCCATTATAATTTGGGCTGCCAGCCGCTGAGGGCCGCCTGACAAACGCTGGATTTCCTACCCGTCACCTCAATCTGGAACAGCAGCGCTGTGGCTTGCTACCTACCTAGGCTTGGCCCGGTTGCATTACGTAGAGTTTCAGTAGCTATCCCCCTCTTCTCCGTTTGCATCTCGCTTCTTCTTCTTGGTCACTTTCTTTGACAATTCTAAGGGAACCGCCCGCTGCTGCCCAGAAGTCTAAGCCGCCCTGTTCGGCGCTACCGATACAGCATTCCTACCCCGTCGTGCACTCTGTCCTCCAAAAGCCCAACGCGCCGCGACCTTTCCCCACTCCCGCCTTTAAGTGCGCCATCCGCGAACCGCCCCGGCCGCCCTCAACCTAGACACCCATTCTAACAACCACCTCGACCCAACACAACCTACATTGGCGGCTCGACTTCATCACCCCTAGACTTAAATCACCGGCGACCATGGCCTCCAGCCGCGAGCGTCGGGTTGCGAAGGAGCTGGCCGATATTCATAATGATAAGGATAACTCGGGCGTGTTTGCCCACCCCATCGACCCCGCCAACCTGACGCACCTCAAGGGCACGTTTCCCGGACCGCCCGACACGCCGTATGCCGGAGGCACTTTCCAGATCGATATTGTGGTTCCCGACACGTACCCGTTCAAGTCACCCGTCATGAAGTTCGATACCAAGATCTGGCATCCGAATGTCAGCAGTGTAACGGTGAGTCCGATGTTTGGGGCAGGTTGTCATGAGGGAATGGCCTACCGGAGAAGGAGTGGAGGGGGGAAGGGGGCACTGCAAGCAAGGAGTCAGGGCAACAAACACCCAGAGCCGTGTCGAGCGTTCGTTATGGGCTATAAGGGACACCGGAAGTAAAAGGCGGACGTTGGATAAGCACAGGATGACTAACGGCCGGGACCCTTTGTCCTTACCTAGGGAGCAATCTGCCTCGACACGCTCGGCACGGGGTGGTCACCTGTGGGCACCATAAAGATGGCCCTAATCTCACTCCGTATGCTGCTCGAGTCGCCGAATCCGAAAGACCCGCAAGACGCCGAGGTGGCCAAGATGATGATGGAGCGGCCCGGTGAGTTTGCTGCCAAAGCTCACGAGTGGGCGGTCAAGTACGCCGGTGCTCCTCGCCGGGCCAATCTTACCCACAACTACCAGGCTTCGGCCGCACCTATTGCAAAGGATGATCCATCACGGTATGTGAGAAGTCAGATTCATATTGGTGATCGGATTGATAGAAATTTGGAGTCAAGCAGTGCGCTGACCCGCCCCCCCTGGGATTCTAGATACAAGGGGTACCACAAGGACCTCGTAGGCCGGTTCGTTAATATGGGTTTCGACGTTGATGCGGTTGTTGATGCCTTCATCTTTGTGGGCATCGACCGCAATGCAGGCGAGGATTACGAGCTGGAGGAAGCATACATGGGTGATATCACCGCTCGATTGCTCGGCGAACAGTGAGTTTTCCGGGGTTCGAAGGGAGCATCCGATCAGGGATGGCCGCGATGTAGGACCCCAAGTGCAGCGGTCGTGTTGCGAGCCCGATGGATTGGGCAAATGTGTATATTGGCGGGGTGCGAAAGGTCGTGCATCTGCACCCAATATGGGACGGCCCTTTGATGCACATGCAAGGGGGTCGGGAGACGTCATTTTATGTCTCCTTATCAGCATCGGGAATGGAGTTTAGGTTGGGAGGGTAGGCGAACAAACTTGTGTGATGTTTTTGCTTCTCTTCGTTTTAGGGATTAGACTCAACCAATACAATCGATTCAAGTTGGTTCAAACGATTTCGAGCGGTCATGGAGCTTCCGTTGTAATTATGGTACCCAAAGAAGAACACTCATAATGCACGAGATATTATGCCAAAGCTAGCGGAAACCCCCAAGTCTATAGGATTGATAAAAGCCTTGGTTTCTCGCCTCGCTACATTCATTGCCTGCCGCCCGAACCCCCCTACTCTCACAACTGCCACGCCGGCTCCTTATGACACCCCATGTCGGCCCTAACGACAAAAGAAACATTCAACATGTACAGGTGGCGTGTCGGTAGCATTACCACAGTATTTGATCTCTACTACTATCTAAAGAGTGTGCCGATCGGACGGGCGGGCCACTTTAGAGGAGGTCACGGCGGACGAACTCGTCCCGGAGAGCCTTGCCGAGGCCAGCGGGCGAGCGCTCGACAATGACACCAGCGGCCTCGAGGGCTTTGATCTTGGAGTCGGCACCGCCCTTCCCACCCGAGACAATGGCACCGGCGTGGCCCATGCGGCGACCGGGTGGCGCTGAAATACCAGCGATGAAGGAAACGACGGGCTTGCCGCCGTTGACAGTGTTGTGTTCACGCAGGAAGTCGGCAGCATCCTCCTCGGCAGAACCGCCGATCTCACCGATCATGATAATGCCGTCGGTCTCCTGGTCCTCGAGGAAGACCTTGAGGCAGTCGATGAAGTTGGTGCCGCTGAAGGGGTCGCCGCCGATGCCGACAACAAGGGACTGGCCGAGTCCGGCGGTGGTGGTCTGGTTAACGGCCTCGTACGTCAGGGTACCAGATCTGCTGACGATACCGATGCGGCCGCGCTTGTGGATGAAACCGGGCATGATGCCGATTTTGCATTGGCCGGGAGCGATGATACCCGGGCAGTTGGGGCCCACAAGGCGGGTCTTCGACTGAGATTTGAGGATCGAGGTGATGCGCACCATGTCTACGATTGTGGCGTTAGACTCCCAAAAGTTCTCGCGGTTCTGATGTTCTTATGAACAACTACTCACCATGTTGGGGGATACCCTCCGTGATGCACACGACAAGGGGCACTTCGGCGGCAACGGCCTCCTCGATACCCGCAGCAGCGAGTGGGGGGCTGTTGATTTGTATTTTGTTAGCGGCGGCTTGCCTGGGTGAGGAATTTTTGGGATTCCCCTTACGGCACAAAGATGGCCGTCGCGTTCGCACCCGTCTCCTTCACGGCGTCGCTGACGTTGGCGAAGACGGGGAGGCCGAGATGCGTTTGCCCAGCCTTCTTTGGGTTCGTACCGCCGACAACGTTCGTGCCTGAATAAGAACCCTCGCATCAGATCCCATGTCGCCTCAAACCTGCAACAATTGTCCTTCTTCGCCTTAGGGTAGGGTTACCATAGTCGATAGCCTGCTGAGCGTGGAAACTGTGAACACGGCTATTGTTAGTTTTTTTGTTTGAAACAAACTCCTGACGGCGGGTGGCATAAATCGCGATGAGCGATAAGCGGGGTAAGGGGTATCGCGGTGGCCGGTGAATCTGGAAATTTAGAGCGAGAACTCACGTTCCTTGCTTTCCGGTAAATCCCTGGTATAGAACCTTGGTGTCGCTGTTGATGCGGAGGTTTTTAATGGTGTTGGCGTAGGGGGTCGAGGTGGACGAGCTGTAGCTTCGTTGAGCGAGTTGCCGCAGGAGGGCGCCCGCAGGCCGTGATTGCCTGGCGAAGGCTTGCATCTTGCTGCGTGTTAAACGGAGACAATGAAATCAGGGTTCAGAGGGGCGAGGAGGCCGGCAGGGAGGGGCAATGCAGGGCGATGATGTTTGAGGGCGTGTTCGATAAGCGTCGTTCAACGGGATGCAGCGGCCTTCGTCATTTCTCCAAACCGCAAGCATCCAAAATTGTCGCCCTCAAACCAACGGACCCAGCCTCGAACCAGGGGCTGTATTGAGCCGTGATTGGCTTAAGGTGAAGCTCTCGGCAATTGCGGTGTGGTGTTTTTCCGATCTGAGCCGCGGATCCACTCTGGTTCTGGCCCCGCAAGAGGCCCCTCCAAATGATACATACACTCTCCGGGTGCTTTCAAGACACAGTCTTGCCCCGCCAAAAATCCTGGTATCTTTAACGCATCCCGCCAAACCTCGACAAACACGAAGTACCATTCGATTGACGAAAACGAAGGCAACTACAGGTTGAGCCAATGCTATAATTGACGAATAAACGTGCTGCACCCACCACCAGTACGGGACCGACTGCTTTCAATACCCGTGACGATGTCGACAACAACCATCACCGCGACGGTGCGCAAGAAGGATGCGAACCTCCCACCGGAAGGCGAACGGTTCCTTCGATGCTGTGCAGATATTGCCGGCGCCCTGATTGAAGACCATGAGGCAGCGAAGGATCCCTCCCGCCCCCGAAAGGATATCAACCTGAATACACTCCGATCCAAACTCGCAAAGAAGCATAAAATTAACAACGTACCACCACTCACTGCCATCATCGCCGCCGTTCCAGAACACTACAAAAAGTATATCCTGCCCAGGCTCATTGCGAAACCGATTCGTTAGTGTCCCCCGTTATATCTCTCATGAAATGAAAGACAATATTTCTAACGGTGGCTAGGAACATCCTCTGGTATCGCTGTCGTAGCTGTGATGTGCAAGCCGCATCGATGCCCTCACATCGCCTACACCGGCAATATCTGCGTCTATTGCCCAGGCGGCCCGGATTCGGACTTCGAGTTTAGTACACAATCTTACACTGGCTATGAACCGACATCCATGCGCGCCATCCGAGCGCGTTACGACCCCTTTGAACAGGCTCGCGGGCGAGTCGACCAGCTCAAGGCACTCGGGCATTCGGTAGATAAGGTGGAGTACATCATTATGGGCGGGACGTTCATGTCTCTGCCGGAGTCATACAGGGACGAGTTTATTTCACAACTTCACAATGCGCTTAGTGGATACGGGACGTTGAACGTGGACGAGGCCGTTCGGGCTGGCGAGCAAAGCAGCATCAAATGCGTCGGTATCACGATCGAGACACGGCCAGATTACTGCCTACAGCCACATCTTTCGAGCATGCTTCGGTACGGGTGCACTCGTCTTGAGGTTGGAGTCCAATCACTTTACGAAGATGTTGCCCGCGATACCAATCGTGGGCATACCGTTGCAGCGGTTGCGGAGACATTCTGTCTAGCGAAAGACGCCGGTTTCAAAGTTGTCAGTCATATGATGCCCGATCTCCCCAATGTCGGGATGGAGCGCGACCTAGATCAGTTTAGGGAATACTTCGAATCTCCTGCCTTTCGAACCGACGGCCTCAAAATCTACCCTACGCTTGTCATCCGCGGGACAGGACTCTACGAGTTGTGGCGAACGGGTCGTTACCAAAATTACACGCCTAACGGCCTCATTGATCTTGTGGCACGCATTCTTGCACTTGTTCCACCCTGGACGCGGATCTATCGAGTGCAGCGCGATATCCCAATGCCGCTGGTGACGTCTGGTGTGGAAAACGGTAACCTGCGGGAGTTGGCGCTGGCTCGGATGAAGGACTTCGGTACCACATGTCGGGATGTGCGGACACGGGAGGTCGGTGTCAACGAGGTCAAGCACAAGATCCGGCCGAACCAAATCGAGTTGGTGAGGCGTGATTACGCGGCCAACGGCGGGTGGGAGACCTTCCTCGCTTACGAGGACCCAAAGCAGGATATCTTGGTCGCCTTGCTGCGCTTGCGCAAGTGCAGCGAGAAGTACACCTTTCGCGAGGAGCTGGTCGGGCAACCGACGAGTCTAGTGCGCGAGTTGCACGTGTATGGCATGGCGGTGCCGGTCCATGCACGCGATCCACGCAAGTTCCAACATCAGGGATTCGGGACTCTGCTGATGGAGGAGGCTGAACGGATTGCGAGGGAGGAGCATGGGAGCGAGAAGATCAGTGTTATTTCAGGGGTTGGCGTCAGGAGCTATTATGCCAAGCTAGGATATTGGCTAGATGGACCATACATGTCCAAGTGGTTGGATGGGAGACCTGGGCCGGAAGAGTAGAGGGGTATATACAGCAACTACCTTGAGCGCCAGGCGTCGGTGCTTCGGTTCTGTCGAGGTCTCGGGCGCTGCATGGATGCGTTTTGGCCAGATGTGCGCGTTGTTCTTGAGTAGTTGTGATGAAACAACCGCGCATGTATCTCGGGCAGCCTAATAGGACAGACCAGCCTCATTATGATGCACCATCGGCACAAATAATTCGTTGCCTCGAGCCACTCACGACTTTAACCTCCAATCAGTAGGTCCCCCTTCCACGCTTCTTATGTCAGCCAGTGGTTTGTTCCGTCGTCAAATAGTCAGGTAGCCGGTCGGCTGTTGCTCGCACGATGGGCCCACACCGGCCCGGCGCCCAAGCTAAACCCGAAGTTTGGCAGTGGCCGTCGATTGCAATTACGCTCGAGCCACCCAGGCACCAGATTTATTATCATCATGACGATGGCGAAGAAAATTGGATATCTTCGGGCTCTGTTCCGATCAAACTATAAAAAGCAGCCCCGCGAAACCAGTGTTACAGGCAAATCGGGCGCCATGTCAGACATCTCCGAACGTGCTCGCGCCGCTCAAGAGCTGGCCACTCTCCTCGGCCCTCTGATCCAAGATGGCGGAGTGCCACCCGGCCAACCCGATAATGCCCCACCAGAATGCGAGCGAAGCAATATCTTGTCCGCCATTGAGTCGCTACTTCGTGTCCTGACTCCAGACCGGCCTCTATACCCTGCTTTCCACGACGGCAAGGTGCATGATCCGTTGGGTAGAGGCGCGTATGCCTTCCAAAAGGATCTTGTCGAACTTCTCATGAGCAGCCTTGCCCACGACGAAAGTTTCAGCGCCAATAGCGTCCCGCAGTCTAACGTCTCCGCTACTCCCCGAATGCCCCGCCGGCCCATCGTCTTTCACGTAGGAGCACAGCCAAATAACTGCCCGCATTGTGGTACGCTGATAGTATTCTGCTATGCCTTTGCAATGGCTCGAGCAATACGAGACCGGATGGAAGCAATGGCTGCCAGTTGCACCAAGGCCGAGTTCCAGCCGCCGCCAGTGTCCGTGGAGATCACCTTTGTTGATACGGCCCCAGTCAGTGGGAAAGGGGTCGAAATTGATGGAATACAATACCAAAGGTCATATAGAGACACGCCGGACGCTTCAAACACCTGGACCGGCGATTACTACGAAGTCATCGGCTTTCTATCCCGGTGGTCTGACATTCCCGCCCACACCGCCACCCAGGCCAGTTTCTTCTCCAATCCCAACATGCCTCAGCTCCTCGAGTACGTTATCAGCAACCGCCACGTCCTCGGCCCCCAGCTCTCCCCCAAGTACGGAACCCTTGCGCTGCGCGCCGCCTGCCCCGTCCCGGGGTGCGGTCTAGCTGAGAAGCACGGTCGTTTAAACAAGTACTCATACGCTCCCCCGTCCCCCGCATCCGAAGAGAACAACAGCGACCCAAACGCCCACTTCCAAAATTGGCAGTCAACACCACCGCCAGAAACAAAGACGACAACAGTTATCACCTTCCATTGCCCCGACCACAGCCCGCACACGGTCGATGTTTCTTCCTCGTTGTGACGAATCGTTCTCAACCATACTCTGAAAGGGCTCACTGAAGGTATAACACTAAAGGGTTGTAATTCGGTGAAGCCAAAGGGTTTACAATAAGATAATGATCTGGTCTTAATATTTATAGCGTCGAATAGATTACGATAAACAAGTTATATTACTTATTGGAAAACTCCTAGAGTCCTTTAGATTACTTCTATTTATCTATCTATAATTAGGAGGTACTTTAATACCCCTATATATACCTGTATCCCTAGATCGAGGGATATTTCTTCGAGTCTATAATCCGAGATCGTAGTGTCGTACCTCGATCCAGTGATCCGTTCTTGATTGGCCAGCACAGGATTGTAAGCGCTGCTCTCGATCCTGTCCTGCTAAGAGAACCTCCTTCTGCTGATTGGTTGTTCCCGGCCGCCGTGCCCTACCAGGTCCCGTCGGCCGCCACATTCGTGACACTCGTCATTGTCGATGTCCCGACTAGAAGCCAACACGCCGGCCCGTAACCTCCTCTGCAGCATGACACACCTGCTCGACAACAGCACCCACCACGTACGCATCACCGGCGCCGAATATGCCGGCAACTACCAAGAGATGTTTCTCTACCGGCCGCTGGCGGCGTGGCAAGCAACGTGCCGCCTAGCCAAGGACCGGGCTCAGGGCCGCACGCCGCATATTCTGTACGCGCCGCTGATTGTCGATTGGAGCGGGGCGAAGTTGTCCAAGTCGCTGTACGTGGCACCGGGCGGGTACGACGGTATGCGAGAGCTTGGGACAGACGGGTTGGGGAGCTGGAGGGCGCTCAAGGAGAGGGTGGGTGGCGATGGCGATGAGGAGGGTTTGAGGCGAATTTGGGAAGAGGTGGTCAGGTGGGTGGATGATCCGAGAAAGGTGTTTAGGTGCTTCTCGGTCGAGTAATGTTATCTGAAGAGGGTGATTATCGAAGGGAACGCGTGGGAGGTATGAAGCTGCTTGTGTCGATTTATAGTCGTATCGTTGCCCAGGAAATGGAAGAGCGTAACACCATCCACTGGTCGCCCGCGTTCATCACGACTTTAAAAGATCTTCTTCAACGTGTCATCCCGCGCATCCTCAACGTCCCATCGATCATTCCATAAGCCCTTCCCAAGGTAGCGCCAGCCCATCGGCGCGCCGCCCATTCCCCACAGCATCTTCATCTCGGCCAACCTGACTGGTTTGACCAATTCGTACAACTCAAGGATTGGGTAGCCGTACTTGGACTGTTTTCGCCCGGAATTGAAATCGTCGTTGCCGATGCCGAAAGGCTCCGCTGGTACCTCGCCGGGTGTGCGACGGACGTCGGCTGGGATTACAGCAATGTGCCTGTTTAATGATGACTTGTTATCAGCTATGCCCGCTCCGCAATGGCTCGAGGGGAATCTGGGAAACCATACGTGATCGCTGACCGGCCGTTGCCCCCTCCAGTTTCGTACAGCCACAAGCGTTCCACACCGTCACGCAACCGATACTTCCGGTATTCATGGTTCTTTTTTTGGCGGGCTATGTTCGTGAGATGCTCTGGCTTAATGGCAAGGAGCACGTCAGTAACAAGCGGTCGTCTGCGGCGGCCGCCGCGCTCTTCGTCTTGGCCTTCGCGGTCGACTTGGCCAATGCAGGCCGCTTTGAGATGCGATGCGTCTGTTGAGGTGCCATGAGACCGATTTCAAAGAACTTTCTCGTGACCGTTTAGCTGTACAAGGAGGTGCGGGCGTTTAAGTTTCTTCTTTTTTTTTCCTTTTTTTTTTAAAAAAAAGGAAAATAAAATTAAATAAAAAGGGTTTAATTGTACGTTCGTCAAGTGCCGATTCCAGGTTCAATCAAGTGTTTGAGAGTGAATATGGATAAACGCGGCGGGAACGCGACGACTGCGGACAAGTGGGGCGCGATGCGTCCTGAGGTCCGTCCACACGTGACGCGAGTGAGACCTCACCGACTTCCCAGAATTGGTAGTATTTCTGGTTGCGAATTCACGAACGCAGGTAACGTACCTTATAAGCGAGCCGAGCATATAAGCGGGTCGAACATTCCTTGGCACAACGCGTCTTTTTTCCACCTAACAT